TCGGTCTCTGAAGCTTACCACGTCGTCGCCGACGATGCCGCCATTGCTGCTCTGCTCTGTTGATGCGGTTTGCGGTTTTCTGTGCTTGATGCAATTTTTCGTGCCATTCGGCCCATGACATCAGCAGAAAATCCACACATATCCCCAAACACACACACCTTGAAGCGTGCATATATAAACGTTTTTCAAAATGCCATCTCCTCAATTTATCCCTGGCAGGCTAAAAACGAGACATAAACTTGGCTTGCACATTAACTTGCACACGTTCACAACTGAAGCTGCATATTTGGAGCCTACCGCAGGAACTGTTCCACCCAATGCTAAAGACCTGTGAAAATGCAATTCAATGTGAGACACACAGCTAAAGAAAATCTTCTTAAGGCTGCGCTGACTTTACTGATTCAGGCAGCTTATTAAAAAGTTTGTCAGACTCCACGTTTGCCATGTCAGCATGACTGGCGCTTCAACTTAAATTCACCTCGAATATATGTATATGTAAATGTTCATGCTTCACACACAAATACGTAGTATATGTATGTATGAAGCTAGATTTTGTTGTATTATTCTTTGTTGAATATATGTATGTACTTTCTGCTGTTGGCCACCGTTTTTATATTGCGTTATAATCCGCTTTTTGTGATCGGATTATGTCCTGTTGCGCCTAATCTCAGGCAAAATGCCAAGCGTCACGTGGACAAAGAACGCCAGGGAGGTAGGTGCTTGTGTATGTATGATGCTTTTGAATGTGTGTGTATGTTTGTGTGTGTAGGGGTGCTGAACTGATCCGGTCTTGCAGTCAACTTTAATTACACACGGTGCGACGGATTAAGGCGTTCAGTCGACACAGACACGCCCACAGCGCCGGCTTCCCTGTCCACTCACTGCTCGGAAAAGTAATTAAAATGTGTATCTACCACATAGGCACATTCACATATGCAACAGCACGCAATGCCTGCAGCCTTATGTATTTAGATGCACACAGATATAAATGGATGTATGTGTATCTCCGAATTATAGCCTGCATGGATGGTCGTCTGCGACAGGTGCGAGCGGCCCTTCTCAGCGCATTAAAAGTGAAAAGCAACATTTTCCAAGATCTCTTTTTAGGCGAGATTGCATGGAAAGGCAATCAAGTTAATTAGAAACTTTTTGTGCATTTTTAATGGCAGCTATTCTGTTTCGTTCCTCTCCCCGCGAACGCTGATTTTCAACCACTTAGCTCTCTCTACACCTCCAACCGTCCCGTTCCCTGCTATATTAACAAGAATACGCTTTGCTTGCATATTTTCGTGAAATTAAAGTTAATTGTACATCATTAAATGTGAATTCTAAGAATTAATTTAACGTTTCGTGGAAAAGCAAAGCGAATACGGTAATGAAACAAAATGGCTGCTTGCCATTCGATTGCCCCATTCCTCTCTTGCCAGAGTGTCGAATTGTAATTTCAACCTCCAGCTTATACATAGTGTGAATCTATCGTGACATTATGTCGGCGCCGCCAGTTGTGCCAACAAAGCCCACGCTGTTGGGCTAATCACTAAATATGACACCGACCCTTTTCCCGTTTCTGTAAAAAGTAGCAAAGTAGCAAAATCAAAATGAAAATTCATTCCCTTATAATACGAGTAATACGGACTTGATTTCTGCACCCGCAGAAACTTGGCCTGTAGTTATTTTTTATTTGGTAGCAGCAATCTAATACTAGAACTGTAATTTTTAGCGCATATACCAATTTAAATATTAAAAAGTGATGGCAAAATGATCCAAGTCAATTGTGATTGAGAAAGATTTTACCACCGCTAATGTTATTTAAGCCAACTTTATTTAGATATATCCCATATTTCTCTTCCAAATAGATTCGAATATGTCATTCCTAGGGGTTCACGATTTACTGGATCTAGTTGGTTGGTTAAAATTCATTCAACATCAATTACTAAAGCTATAATATAAAACATAGTTAATATTGAAAAAGTTGACATATATATAGGATCTTTCTATTTTGCATACAAATTTCCAATGTTTTTGTTGAAACCTTTTTATTTATAGAGTTTAAACATAGCTAGATCGACTTGCCTTGAGTTACTAAAATGAATTTCAGATCCTATGGTCCCTTCTTGACACCGAATATCCTTTTTGGAGGAAGTATGACAGTTAAAGTATTTGATTTGGAGAACAATAAGTTTACGGGAAACTTGACATCCGCAATCGTGTTCCCCAGAGTTCAGTTATTGAGTACTTTGGAATTTATACTTTTAAGCTGTTCTTATGGGGGACATCTTTATCATTCCTCAGACATTTTTAATGGCTAAGCAATTTAAGTTACACGTGTCAAATCTCTTGCCGTGCCAGCTTATCAGTATTTGTTATTAATTGCAACCTCAACAACATTTCGACGCAGTCACCGAAAGCTGTTTGGCAAACTTAGGCCGAGATATCTGTATATTATTATATGTATTAGACAGCTGCAGGAATGGTAAAAAAACCACATTCGAATGCTCAAAATGAGTTGAGTGAATTAGAATGCAAAGGTGAACTGATATGAATGAATGAGTATACACACGTACAACTCAGTCGCACTCAGTCGAAACGTAGAAAAACGAATTGAATGGAGTGAGAATACGAAACAAATATGCAAATGCAAAATATTTTGCAGCTAGTTTTGTACAACAGAGGAACTCCCTCCTTTATATAATGAATTGTACAGGACAAATACGACGCTTTTAAATAATTATCTGTCCATATATCACTGGTGATGGCATATCCAAAGGCTTTATATTCATCAATTTCGGCATTTATCGGACCAAAGTGAGCAGATTTTACAATAACTAGAGTAGAGTATCTAGAGTAACTCGAATAACTCGAATGTTTTCCGATATGTCAATTGTTTCATTCCGTTTTACGTTTAATTTATTCTAACTCCTTTCAATGAATGTCGTATGCTATGAGACACAAGACGCACTCATATTCATACAAATTCATATCATTTTCTATGTACCATTTACTCAACTCAATTCGATTCCATTCTTTTCAACGTACCTTATGAGTGAAGCCATGCAGCTGTCTAGTATGTATACCTATGATACGAGGTTAGATCATTAATAAGCACAGAAAACACATATTTCTTTTACTGTTTCTTTATTTTATTTTAAATTTAATTTGATTTTATCTCAAACAATGTTTTCGAATCGTGACCGTAAATAATCTTATCTTTTGAATTGAAACTGTTTTAGAGGTGTCAAAAATATGGGCGTTTTTCTTAATTTCTTTGAATGTTCCTTGTTTTTAAAGTGGCTCTTTCTATCATTAATGTTAATGTAACGACGAGTGACACGGTACAGCTTTAAACAAGCTTTTAAGCTCACAGTTCCGAAACGCGGCTATTCTTTTCGTTCAAAATTGAAGTCATCGACCCAAGTGATAAACGTGTTGCATTAACAATCTCTCATTGATGATCGGACTCAACTAGACTTTTAAACGCTACTTATTATTTGCAAAGGCCCTGCTCCATTTACATTAATTAACACAATTGTAAGCAGCCTTGAAATATGGTTCAATGAGTGTATTTCAAACAACTTCGTTTGATACATTTTAAAATAGCTTTGAAATAAATTTCTGATAGTGTTTAATCTTTGCACGAAATTGATTATTTTTTATTATTAGAAAATTGCACGAATCAAATCTTAATCGATTGGAAATCCGAAACTACGCGAAGTTTTACAAAAGAATCGTGTTTCGAACATAAAATATAAGTTTTCAAGGCTTTGTATAGACTTTTTAAACCACCCTCGTAAGAGCTCGAAAGAGGGGAAGGTCAAATAACACCGAGCCAAGCAGCAAGATCAGCAGCTGACGGGTACCGTGCACGGCCTGCATGGCCCGGGTTTTTAAGTGCCTCCACATAGCAAACAGTGAATCGAATGATTGACGGATGGACTGAATGAGTGCATGTCAGTTCAAAAGTCTGAGTGGGGATGTGTATATGTACGCGTGTCTGTGTCTGTGTGTGTGAGTGGCAGTGGCGGCGTCAGTTGCCGACTACTCCAGAGGCACTCGAGCCAACATTTATTTGCACAATGCCTGCGATGAATAAAAAAGGAAAACAAAAAACAAAAAGCCAAACAAAGTCTGGTCGTGCCCGCCATTCGAAACTTGTATTTTCTGAATATTTAGAAAACTCACGTACATGTTCAATGTGCCGCTCAAGCGAGACCACAACGGCAAACATAAGACAGACAGAACGCGTGGAAAGAGCTAGTCATTGGGTACTAGTGCTGCAGCTGATCTTGATGGAGAGCCTCTTCAGTGGAGAAAAAGAGCATTTTTACCATTATATACACAAATATATACACAAATACATACATCTATGTATCTCGTGTAACTGAGGAGCCACACACGTACCTCCGCTTTTGCAAATGTGTGTGTGTGCGCATCTGTTAGCAATGCCTTTCACGCCAGATCCAAAGCCACAGACAGAGTAAACTACAAAACGAACTGCAAACCAGAAACCGGGTATGGGGTTGCAAACAGCACGAGACTTGAACACGAAAGTGAAACACACATAACTCAGCAATGTCGGCGACAATGTATGTACATACATACATCTGTACATACATATGCATACACAATGCATATATGTGTGGGGAGGAGCGCCGTATGCGTGTTTTGGTTTTTGTTTATTATTACTGCTATCGCTAACATCAACGATACCGTCTTGTGTTTGTTGTTTTAGCTTGGGAAAAGATAACGAAATTGCACGCGACTGAACCGAACGCTGACATCTGCTTATCGCAGGTAACAAGAAGGCGGCAACGATGATAAACATGCATTTTAAAGGTACGCTAGAATTCTAATGCGTTCAACTGACTCTCTTATCAGTTAGCGAACACGTAGCCGGCGAGCACGTGTCGCAAATGCTCTGTTTAATAACCTCAACATTGAAAAGGTGTCGTTGAAAGTGAGACCCCACAGGAATCTTGGCAATGTTGCCTTAAATAACTTACCCGCTTCTCAGCACTGTCGCAGGGATTGCCAACTGACGACGAAGTCGATGAAGATGTTGACGTTGTAGCCGCTGCTCCGCTGCTGGCTGCTGTGATAGGCAAGTGATTCTGAGGGAGCACATCCGGCGTAACCGAGTCCAATTGCTCCTGCTTAATGCCAGCTATCAGCGGCAAAAAATCGTTCTTCAGATTCTCCAAATCCAAATCCATGTTGAGTATATTGTAGGAGTATTATGAATAATCAAAAAATTAAGTTGTCAGCCACCGATGTGTGAGTAGGCCTTTGCTAATTTTAGCGCGATTCGTTACGATGTGTTCACCAGCTGGGCATTTTTGGCTCCAAGGATTATAAATTGGATTTGCTTTTGATTGTTTTGTTTTTATTAACTTTCAGTACATATCTTCGTGCAAAAACGGGTAGGGGAGCACCACCCGACCCCAAGACGAATGTCGCCACAAAGAGGGCGCGCGCACGAATCACCAACAAAAACACAACGAAAAATGGGCTTACTAAAATGGTTAGGGTTTTACCACCTTTTCTATATTTTGGCCCTTGTACAATGGCGCGCTTGCTGTTGCAATAAAAATTCGCATTACAATTTACTGAATTTTCATTTCACCTTCGACGAAGCAGAGCCATTTTGCATTCCGCTTGCAACTTTTCTCTCATCACTTTTTTTCTGCTTTTGCACAATCTTCTCACGAAGCAATAGAAACAGAGACATTCATTACAGTGTTCACACTTTTGATTTTTCTTCGAAAATCACATTTGGACGAGAATTTGTTTGTTACACACATTTGGATTTGTTTATTTGTTATTCAAATTGATTTTTATATTTATATTGTTAGGAAAACACGGCGACTCTCGTCGGACGCTTGCTCTGTACAAAAATTTTCTTATCCAAGATGGCTGCGTATTCAATTATGCGAGGGTTGCCAGATGGCACCAAGGCTGGGTGGCCTAGACACGTTAAGACCAAAACAATTTTTGTTGCTAGTATGGTTTTCTAAATTTCGATTCGAGAGATATTTGTTCCTTTATTTTATTTACATTAGTATACAATTAAATACTTTTAATAACTAATACAAATATTTACAGTAATAGCTCTAGCTTTTAAACGTTTCAACCTTGCTAAACTAATACAATTTGTTAAATATTTGAATTGAATGTATTACAATAAATTAATAATCATGCAATTTGAATTCATCAGACACAGCTGTGCTATGTCATGCGAAGAAGAAGAACTATGTATGTATGTATGTATATAGCCAACACGTGTGTTGGTCGTTGTTTCTACCAGTTGTTTTGATTGAGGTGAATTAGTTTAAAATAAAAAAAATAACTATTTTGTATATATTAACAATCAATGCTCTTTAGCCAAAAATTTGGTGGTTACGCAAAGGCAGGTAAATTTGAATGCACTGAGTTTAATATATATATATGTATTTTGCTTTAATAAAAACATTCTTTCACAGTGAGCCTCAAATCGCTGCTACACACAACAATCAACAGGCTCCGAATACCACACCGCAGCAAAGGATTTGCAGCCGCCATGTCGGAAGCTCTGGACAAACTGGAAGCAGACACAGCTGCGCGGAAAGTAGCTAAAGAAGCTGAAGAAGAGGTAATAAAGGAAACGAATCGCGTTAAGCGAAATCTGAAGCGCCGCAAGTGGGTCGATTGGAAAACACAGGACGAAGAGGACGCTGTAGGCGGCACAAAGCGAGCACCCTTTAATCCAGCCGATCGCATTAAACGGAAAAAGTGCGCTATATTGTTGAGCTACTGTGGCGCCAACTATTATGGCATGCAGCGCAATCCTGGCATGCAGACAATTGAAGAAGAGCTATTTAAAGCCATGCTCAAGCATAAGTGGATGACGGAGGATAGCTTCGAGCAAGTGCAAATTGCCTGTTTCCAGCGCGCAGCGCGCACTGACAAAGGCGTTTCAGCTGCTCGTCAGGTGTGCTCCGTGAAATTGCGTAAGTTTTGAATTGATATTCCCCAATTAAATATCAAGTCTATTTGAGATCTGTTTGCTTGCAGCTGATGATTTGGATTTAAAGAAATTCAACGAAGATCTGCCTGAGCAGATCCGCCTCTTTGGCGTGGAACGTGTCACCAAGGGCTTCAATGCCAAGGAACAGTGCAATGCGCGGACCTACACCTACACATTGCCCACCATCGCCTTTGCGGATTGCAATGAAGATATTAAGCAAGAAACCTATCGCATTTCAGATACACAGCTGGTTAAGGTTAGAGAAACACTTCAACTTTACGAGGGTACGAAAAATTTTCACAATTTTACCAGCAAGAAGTAAGTAGCCTATTTTTTCTAGAAAGCTGCAAACTGACATTGTCTATATAGAAACTTTTTAGATCCTTCCTCCAAACGTTTTATAATGTCGTTTGCGAGCTCAGAGCCATTCCAGAGTCCACAAGGTATTGAATTTGTCACACTGAAGGTGAAAGGCCAGAGTTTCATGCTGCACCAGATACGAAAAATGGTTGGACTTGCCATCGCCATTGTAAGGGGAAATGCGACAGCAACAACTTTGGAGCGCGCACTGACCGAAGAGCGCTTGGACTTGCCCATGGCACCAGGTCTGGGCCTGGTGTTGGACACAGTGCATTATGAACGCTACAATGAGCGCTATGGGAAGGATGGCATACATTCACCGCTCACCTGGGATCTACAGGAGACAGTAGTTCGTGATTTCATTGAGCGTTATATCTATGCAAATATTTATAAGACCGAAGCAGAAGAACGGAACATGCTTGACTGGCTGAGCACCCTACATTTCCATTCCTACGATACCCGTCGGGATGAGCCGCCGCCACTGAATGACAAACAGAAGAATGCCAATGATGATGATGACGAGTAAGCCCGTCGGATAACTTAAATTGTGGAGGACTTGTTTAAAAAATTCCAATGCCAACAATCCAATATTCGTCAAGTCTCTCGAAGAATTGGCTTAAGTTGAGCCATTTGTTTTGAATTTTTTATATACATAATAAAAGTACGCATGCAATTTTTTTGTTCGCTAATTAATTTTTGGAATTTGATTTATACGCCTGAAAGTTTCATTGCAAATGTTACAACGAGTTGGTTTAGAATCGATCCAAAGACCAAACTTTCAGTTTCCTCTGTAGCTACATAAATAACATTGTTATATAGACACGTACTTACAAGAGATTTACTTATACATGTACATTTGAATGAATGTATCAGGCGGATTAGTAATTTTGTCATTCATTGTTTTACTCCAAAATTCAACTTAAGAATACACAGTTTAAAATGCAAATCCAGTTGTTAATAATTGATATAAAATAAAAAAAGCCACAATACAACAATGCTTAAAAGCGCCCACCCTTCTTCTTCTTATGACCGCCCTTGCGATGCTGTTGCCTGGGACCGGGTGTTGGCTCCTGGTAGACGGGTGTGACGGGTGAATTTTTGCTCAAATTGGCGCGATTTGACATGTCGCTATAAGGAATATATAAATTACAACGGAAATTTATAATTTCACAATGACTTACTATTGATCCGCTGCTCCTGTGGCCATACCCTGCGACCCCTTGATTACATCCTTGGTGCGTCCACCACCACGCTTCTTGCGGAAACCAGTGCGCTCATATTTGGGAAGCCAGCGCTCTGGATCTGGGGGCACCTCTGCATTATAGTTCTTGGGCAGTTTGCCTTTGCGTTTCCTATTTTTGCTCTTCTTCTCTACCAATGGCGTGCTTGGCGAAGGCTCAATCTTTGCACTGGCCGATTTCTTGGCCGCCTTCGTGGACATGACCCAGTTGGCCGCCTCAAGTGCATCGATTTCCGAAGCAGTTGTCAGGGTTTCTAATTTGGGCAGCTTCCGACTTATTTCCAGAGCACGTTTCGGATTGAACTGTGCATAAGCAATGACCAACTGTGCCAACACCTTCATATCATTGGGCTTAAGCTTTAGAAGCTCCTCCAGCGAGCTGGCGGCAGTCTCCGAAGCACCACCACGCAAATGAAACTCGGCGGCCTGACGCCACATATCCGATAAATCACCGCTGCTTACATTGTTCTGCTTATACCAATCCACAGCGGATTTGAGTAATGCCGATGCAGCAGGTTTATTGTCCGTTCCCAAGTAGAGCGAGACTAGAGCAGAAACAATGCCAGGTTTGTATTTGGCCTCGCCCAGTGATAGCAGTGTTTCGATGGCGTCCTTACGATTGCCCTTTATGAGATAGAACGTATTAATATATCAATCGATGAAATGTTAAAAGCATTATGATACTCACTTGCAGAAGCTGCAGTTGTATGATGGCAAATTTAGTGACAAACTCGTGTGACTTATGTAAAGCCGCGAATTTCTGCAGCTGATCAATGGCCTCTTTGTGCTTTTTATCCTTGGCAAGTTGACTGCATCGGATAAGAAGCGCCTCGAACTCCATCTGGGGATAGTTCTGCGATAATTTCTGACTGAGCTGCTGCACTTGATCGCTAGCATTGGTGAATAAGGCCAGCAGACAATTGTTTAGGGCAATCACTTGCTTTTGACGGGAAGTCAATTTTGGCTCGCAGGCTTCGGCCATGGCGGCGCGAATTTTCTTTTTCGAATCGAAAACGTTTTGATCTTTATTGATGACCACTGCATTATTACTAGCTACTGCTACCAGAGCCGGATCCTTGGGCTTGTGACGCAAGCACTCAGCATAAATGGTGCTAGCCTCCTTAACCTTGCCCTGCAACTGCAAGCAGTAAGCCAATTGAACGCGTATGACATCCAGTTCCTCGAGAATCTCCTCTTCGCTGGCACCTTCCTCTTCGAGAAAGTCACGGCACAATTTTTCGCTAGTGCGCAGCTTTCGCTCAGCCTCGAGATATTTCTGACGATTCGATTGTATGCAGGCGCTGTTGAAGTACTGCTCGTACGTATCTTCTGTCACATCGGGCACATCCTTGTTCTTGTCCACTGCCAAATTTGCAGCCACCGCACTTAGATTGGTGCGACGTTCATCCTCGTACTCATCGCTGGTGTTCTTGATAATGTCCTTGTAGGAATCCAGACACTCTTCGTAGCGCTCCAGGCGGTACAGTATTTGAGTGCGCAACTCCTTTAAGTTGGGAGGCAATGGCTGCACAATACCATCATCGATGGTTTTAAGCGCCTGCTGCTGTCTGTTGAGACGATATTCGCAGTATGACTTCTCAAAAATCAGCGACGTCAGACGATTTTTCTCGATGAACTTATGAGCCTCCTCGAACTTAGACAACTGCACCAGGCACACAACCTTGCAGTGCAGGGCCGTTTGGTCGTCTGGAGCTACTCCAAGTACTGAAGACAAAGACAATAAGACACTTTGACGGATTCATATGCAGAAGGGCGAAAACTTACTGCGATTAACAGCTTTTATTGCCTTATCGTATTCCCTATTGTTGCCGTACTTGTTGACGTCAGCGTAGGCGGACTTTATCTGCGCCTCCTTGGGGTTTGTGTCTTTCGACATTGCGGCAAATACACAAAATTTTTAATAGATAATTGTTAATTACGATTCGGCGTGCACTTTCGCTAGGCAAGCAACTTTGACAGCTGGCAGACACAGACACATCACCAAACCAGAGTTGCCGCATCTTCGTGGTGGACGGTTGCCAAATCATTTACACAAAATACCAAACCATTCGATAACGCGCAAGGGCCATCACTGGTAACTTTATTGTTCGATTCGCTGGCGACGCCTTTGCTAGAGTAATAATTTCGGCGTTTTTTGTGTGTTCTGGAGCAAAATGTCTGCTGAAGTTGATTTTATTAATAAAAAGGAGGTGCACCTACGCACTCTGAAGCAGTCAGGACATGTGGGCTTCGATAGTCTTCCCGATCAGTTAGTCAACAAGAGCGTTCAGAATGGATTCGTTTTCAACGTTATGTGTATTGGTGCGTATATGTATTTGTATACCACTCGATATTTGTGTCTGTGTGTGTGTCTGGTAGTGTGTATGCAATAAAATGAATCAACGCTTGGGGTTCTGACTCTGGCTGGATGGGGAGGAGTAGCAGAAGTGCATAAAAGAGGAATTGAAACATTGATTGATTCACTATATTCATCCGCCATTCGGCAGTGAATCACATTTACAGAAGCGTTGATTCAATAGTAATATGAAAGCAGTATGATTAACATGCAGAGTGGCAATCGATTTTCATGCCCAGACCAGCGGCATCTGCTTTCTACAATTTCGCCCTGACACTAATATATATTTGTGGATAGTGCCTATTGACAGCACTTAAGTGCGCACACACTTATCTATTTATATTGCATGCTTTCATGTCTTTCACTTTTTCAACTGTAGGCGAGACTGGTCTGGGAAAATCCACACTGATGGACACGCTTTTTAACACAAGTTTCGAGTCGACACCCTCCCCGCATACGCTCCCCAGCGTGAAATTGAAGGCTCACACCTACGAGCTGCAGGAGAGCAACGTGCGTCTTAAGCTTACCATTTGCGACACAGTCGGCTATGGTGATCAGATAAACAAAGATGATTCATTCAAAGCTGTCGTCGACTACATCGATGCTCAGTTCGAGAACTATTTGCAGGAAGAGCTGAAGATCAAGCGGTCATTGGTTACTTGCCATGATAGTCGTATCCACATTTGTTTGTACTTCATCTGTCCTACTGGACATGGGCTGAAGTCACTGGATTTAGTTTGCATGAAAAAGCTGGACAGCAAGGTTAATATTATTCCAGTTATTGCAAAGGCTGACACCATTTCCAAAGTGGAACTGCAGCGATTCAAAGCAAAGATCATACAGGAGCTGAACAGCAACGGCGTTCACATCTATCAGTTTCCCACGGACGATGAAACCGTGGCCGAGACAAACAGCGGCATGAATTCCCACATCCCCTTCGCGGTCGTGGGCAGCACAGAGTTCATTAAGGTTGGCAATAAACTCATACGTGCCCGCCAGTACCCATGGGGCACAGTCCAGGTAGAAAATGAGACACACTGTGACTTTGTCAAGCTCCGTGAAATGCTTATTCGCACAAACATGGAGGATATGCGGGAGAAGACACACACACGACACTACGAACTCTATCGCCAAAAACGCTTGGAGCAGATGGGCTTCAGTGATGTGGATAGCGACAACAAGCCAATATCATTCCAGCAAACATTCGAGGCAAAACGTTCCAACCATTTGGCGGAGCTGCAGGCCAAAGAGGAGGAAGTGCGTCAAATGTTTGTACAGCGGGTCAAGGAGAAAGAAGCGGAGTTGAAGGAGAGCGAGAAAGATTTGCATGCTAAGTTCGAGAAATTGAAGCGAGATCATGCCGAGGAGAAGCGAAAACTCGAGGAGTCACGAAAGGCCCTTGAAGAGGACTATATGGATTTCCAACGTCGTAAACAGCAACTCGCTACAGCACATCATACTTTAACGCTGGGCAAAAGCAAGAAGAAGTAGGCCGAGAAGTTCTGGCCCTTCTCTTGAATATTTTGTGCGTTTTGCTTATCCCAAAGTAATTGCTTTTTCATCTTGTTGTATTTCATTTATACTATTAAGTTTTCTTCAAATATTAACATAAAATATATATACATACTATATGTGCTTACAATTAGCATACATACATACATACTAACAAATAAAGCGAATTTAGTATTTAAAAAAATGTTTCGACTTGATTTGCCGGTCGTGTTACTGCGACCGGGGTGGCAACGCTGCAAGGTGTCAACTCCGTCGTTGCCATGTTTGTTAGATTATTTTGCTAATGGAGTGCAGTTGAAGAATAAAACGCAATAGAATGGTTATTTAAAACACATTTAAATGTTGTGATATACGCAAAAACCAAGTACAAGGCTAATCGACATATACAGTGTATTGTACAAACGTAAAAAGTGGGTGTATAACGGCGCAATTGAATATAGATTTTCTGTTTTGTTACTTGTCGCAAGTGTTGGGCACGGGTGTGGGGGGTTGGTTCTGCAGCAGTCCATAATAATCAGTCGAAACGGAATTTCCTACGTCTGTTTGAAATTGCATCGAGACGCAAATATGTCGCCTAGTCCAGCGATTATTCTGAAATTTGCTTTAACTATCTATGCTGTTCTGCAAACAGGTAAGGAAACTTTTTGTGTACGTACATACATATGTATGTATGTTCATATGTACATACATACAATATAAATCGGACAAGCGTACCACTTTTTATAGCAATCAATATTTGCTCTACTGCCAAAATTTACACTAAAACATTCATTGTTTTTTGTTTTTCAGCAAGGGCCTACAATGTTGTCTTAACGGCGCCAGCGTCCGCCCTCATCGGTTCGGTGAACTTTAGCGTTACAATTTACGATGGTAAGACGCCCGCTACAGACACCAACTTTAAATTCATATGGAAAGATAATGCAAACCATGAAAAGGCAAGTACGCACGCACCCATATACATATATACATATATATATATATATATATATATATATATATATATATATATTCGCACATTTATTGTTATGACTAATTCATTATCAATAATAGCATATAAGCTCACATTTTGGTATGTTCGCGTGCATTTAAAATATTTTTAATAAAATAATGAAACGCATTTTTGATAACAATTCTACCCAAATGAGCTCAATTTATAATTAATAGTAGAGACGTTTTTGTACATATTAAACAGCAGAACGTGTTTTTTATTTGAATTTTAGGTTTATGTAAATATGCAATGCATACTTTGGATAAATTGGGTTACGTTTCTTTAATAATTATAATTTTATTTTGTAGCTATTTTTAACAATCATTGTAATTGAAATGCATAGCATATATACATACATATGTACATATCGTATGTATGAGTATGAATGCTTAGATGCATTTGCAATTCAAATTTTCTGAATGGCGCTGTCTGAAAGTGCCTATACCAATTCGTACTTGGTACGCTCAGCTTTAGTTATCAGCAGCTAGTTTTCCCCACATACGCAAGCAACTCAGCCATTGTTCATTTATCTGCGTCACTGACTGTGGAAATAAATAAAAGAAAACCTCACCTTCGAATTGCTTATTTGTAGATTTTTAAACTTGCTGGCTTATTCATTACGAGCGGCTTTGTTTCCATTCACAGGTATTTCAACTGAAGTCACCCCAAAGCAATTGGACTGTCAATTATGCCAAGGATCACATAAAGCCAGGCAAATATCGAGTGAGCGTGCAAGTTGAAAAAGAGCTGCTGCTCAATATCTGGTTCCCAGTTGGGGATGATTCAACAAACATTCAACTACGCGATCATCTGGGCGGAGAACTGCAGCTTATACAAAAGGATTTTGTGCGACCAAGCGAGTTTGTTTCCACAAAGACACCAGTTAACCACAAAATTGAAATTTTGCCCGAAGATTTAGCCTATTTAGAGCAGAAGGCATATTATGTGCAGACCTACTGGTTTCAAAATTGCACATATCTGGGCATGTCCAATAGCTATGAATATGAGGCAATATATTCGGAACCTAATATATACTATGATATCGAAGCGTTGGTGGTTGCTTCTTTTGAGCCACTTCCTCAACCAACTCCTTCCACGACGACGACTACTACAACTACTACTACAACTACTACCACAACCACTACGCCCCGCACTACTACTCCTACAACCACGCCAACAACAACAACATCATCAACCACACCAAGTACGACGACTTCGTCAACCACCACAACCACAACATCTAAACCAAAAGCTGACGTGCCACGCTCTAAACGTGACATCATGCAAACAATGCACGCCAATGCTGCCCTTTTGGGTCTTAATTTAACGTCTGCGGTGCAGCAACAACAACAAAATACCAGCCATAACATATCGGTAGCCTTGCTTAATCCTCAACGTGTGCGTCCATTGCTGGGCGTACATCGTTTATTAGCGTTAATACCTGAAGAGCCGCCCTATAATTGTGTCAATAAGAGCATTATATCACAAGATCCGAAGAAGGCCTATGGCTACTTTAGGCGTCGCATTGTATCTAAAAGTAAGTAATCAGATAGATTTCGTACCCGTTTCTTAACCTTTTTTATTTGTCACCTCATTTAGATCCCGTCTCCAGCTTTGGCAGTAGTGGCAAAAATTGGCTACAACACTGGGAAATGGTGAATCTCCAGATTACTTGTAATGGGTCAGCGCCTATAGAATACTGCATTTATGTTCACAATGGTACGTATTGCAAATATAACGCAAAGTTTCATTACAATCTAAAAGAATTCCCTGTGTTTATTATATGAACTCACTGTTCTTTCCATTTCGATCGAATATGCTAATAACCTATCACAACTTGAAATCGGTTTGCTAGGCTTCAGCATATATAAAATCTCTTTAAAGTTGAAACATAATTGAAAATTGCTTAAATATTAACGATTGTTTATAATTATAGCTCCCTACAATATGACAGGCAACGAGACTTGTTCAGAATATGAGAGGACGAACGTGTGTCAGTTCAGCTATCAGCGTTACTTTTCCGACAGCAAGGCAATAATGTTCTTTATACGTAATGAGGTATCGGATATTAAAAATATAATCACTGTCAACATGTATGAAGGTGCGTCGACTAATGAGTACAAATAATTTTTTATATGCTGAGTAACACTCTTTGAATCCTTTAGCCAAGCGCCAATCACAGTTGTCAGTCGTGGTTGTGCCTGTTTGTTGTACTCTGCTCGCTGTTATTTTGGTTGTATTTGGCGTATCCTATTATATACAAAGTCGCAATCGGTAAGTTAGAATATTCTTGACATTTGAATATTTTCTTATACCAAAATTGTATGCACAGCTTTACTGTGGAGGTTGCCGATTTCAATTTCGGAGACACTCAATCGGTGGACATGGAGCATAAGACATTCCAGCAACGCCTTATTGACAGCGTACGGGAGGCTTGGCCTCGGTTTCGTCGGTTTTCCACATCTAGTTCAGATCTGATTGCCGAACCGGCCAATTTGGTTGGTGGCAATGTCGGGGATATGGACAGCAACTTGCGTTATAATACGCTCAATTAAAATCGAAAGCTGTTGTAATAATGTTACCCATACGAATTAACCTATTTAATTTAATTTATACACATACATACTTAGGTTGATACAGTGAAAACAGTGACCGCTTAAGGGGATACTTACTTTATACACCGATCGAATGTTTTAGAAAAAGTGTCCGCCGAAGGGAGTGTCCGCATAAAAGAGGTGTCCATTAAGGGATTTTTCACTGTATATATGTAATATATTTTGTTATACATGGATATTTACTTTATTTCAGTCATACCCTTAACTTGAATTATATTTTCTATATATTGTTAGTTGCATAACATAAACGCACACCAATTAACACATATTCATACACGTGCTCATTAATGGCCAAAACTGATGTAATCATTGCAATCGCAATCATATACGGACAAAACGTATGTGTGTACTATATGTACTAAATCTCATAAGTAGCTGTAAAAGACTGTCTTTGTTCTAAAGCAAATGAAAAAAGAAATATATTTGTTGTAAGCATTCATTGATTGATGATATTTGTAAACATGTAATTGTTTTCGATAGAAGTTTGAAACTTAAAGACAGCTCAAAGAATGTGCTGAGAACATTTAAACAATACATAAGAACACACTCTCAAGCAAAATATTCATACATATTTGTAATTGTGATAGATACTAGAACAAACAATTAGTTTTGCATCGAAACTAAATGCGAACATTCGAATGCTTTTTAATAAACATACAACAACAAAGGTAAGGATTTCATGTTACTAAAAGTACATTTAACTTGCAAGACACAAACATTCATGCATCACCATAAAAAGTATTGTCGGTTAAGCTCTCCTCAAGATCATAAACGGTATGTAATTTCAAAATTCTAGCAAATGCAAACGAATATGTACTATATTTACACGTTTATATAGAGAGGAATGGGAAGTCAAGCAAATGCATTACAAAACCTTTTAAATTTAAATCATGATGAATAAAACTTGATTTCCTTCAAAATTATGTAACACTCTGGTGTTAGCTTACATAATTCATGATGTACATAAAATTTATATGTATGTATTTATTATTAATAAATGAAAAAATATATAATAGTTTTAATTGAAAAACGTTAGCACTTCTTTCATTTTCGTTGGAAACAATTAGCTTCAAATGTTGAATACTATGAACGGTCAGCAATGTGTACTCCTGGAAGCTTAAAAATTTTAAATTATATTTTTATTTGCTGTCTGTCAATATATTTTCAAACCATATTTTATATCAAGCTGGAAATTTAATGCGCCACGATATGGACTGCCATCCATGGTGATATTCATCTCAAATTTATAAAGCAATAAGACCTGGAAAATAATAATATGTCTAGAAACGTTTTAAAAGTTCTTACGAAACTAGGACCTGGTAGTCTGCGTGTTCATCAGTCTCTGCCAAAAAGTGTACAAATTGACCCGCCCTTAAAAAAAAACAACATAATTTAAAATTTCGGGACGTCATACATATAATGGATTATGTGTCTCGGATTGGTGTACTATATATTGTAAGTATCTTTTCTTGATATAGCAATGGTAGAACATAAATTGGATTAGAGATACGCTTTGGCTATGGAATATAGTTACATAAGTGTTACATATGTATGTGTATTTTATATTTTGTTCAAACAGGTTAATGGGTAATAAAACTTTACTTGAGTTCCAAAATATACATTATTTTGGGTGTGTGTGTAATTTTGATAAAATTGCCCGAAATATTTACATTGCAACTAAAATATGTTCGAGGGTGGGGTGAAATTTCTGGTGAACATTTTGCCAAATGCAATAATAATTAAGTAATGTTGATTTTGGTTTTGAAATAAATTTTAAATTTACTTGTTTACAGTTATAGTTAGGGGAAATGTAATTTGTTTTTTCCTTTCATATGTATATATATAATTTCATAATATACGATCTATACGTTTACATTATATGAATCACTAGCAATACGTTTGATAATTTTCGCATTTTGTTTTCAAACCAGTCGATTTGTGGTCTTCAATTCGAAATTCTATGAATGATGATTTTAGACGTTTCGTTTAGTAATATGTGTTATTATGATAAATAACAAATATTTCGTTATGTCTTATTAATTGCTAATTTTGCTTTCAATTTTCGAAGTGTTTTAATGTTGTTTTACAATAAATAAATATAAAATGGTAACGTTTCGTTAAGATTTGCAATTGAGTATGCATGCGTGTATATTTGTTTTGTTAAATTAATTAATTGATAATTACAATGTTGTGTTTTTTGTTTAATAAAATTTACTTTAAACTTACTTAACAATAGTTTAGTGTTAATTTAACTTGTTTCTGTATTTATATCTTTTTCATCTTATTTTGTTTTTGGTATAATTTTTAATGTTATACTCTCTATTAATTGTGTTTTGTTTCGTTTCGTTTTCTTCTTTTTCACCGCACGTTCCTGCCTACGATTTGTTCAATATCTTCAATATATGTATATTTAAGCATATATTTTTCCTTTTGTTGTAATTTACGTCGCGTTTAACTTGTTGTTGTTATTGATGATGTGGTTTTGTTTTCCATTTCATTTGACTTCGGCTAATATTTGCAATTGTGTTTTGTGATAGTTGTTTTCGTTTTTGTGTTTGCTCTTTCTGCGTTTTGAGGGAACGAAAAGAGAAAGTGAAACGAAACGGAATAAACTGAAACGTTTTAAACAAAGCTCAAAGAGGATATGAATTTGTTTTTTGAACGATGCTTTTGGGAAAGTTTGTATACGAAATGGCGACTATGCTATATAATAATAAAATTATGTATATACAATCATATAAGTAGATGTCTGATAAACACAAATGCTGCGGACCATTTTGTGGCGCCCAGTACGAAACGTAGGCAGTGTAGAAGAGATTAGAACGTAATATTTAGCGCTGATTTTCCAAATAAACGAACTCAGTTGTAACCAAGGGCGTACGCAGCTTTTTCCAAATGGGGGCCAAAAAAATTAAAATGCTTTAAAATAATAATTTGTGCATATGATCAATAAAAACATCCAACAAATACAACTCAGTTCCATTTTAAGGCGAAATGTGCACCATAATAATGAACTTGCGGTCGATTTCATATTGCTAAATTGTTTTCGCGCCCATATAATTACAGTAGCTATTGTCTAATACAATCTTAGGCCAACCCAACAAGTAGAAGAGCTTCGCGCTAATTGGAAGACTTGGGTTTTGAACCTGATTGAGGGCAAAATTTCTGGTACAGCTCCTCTAATTAGGTTCGTAAACTGATGTTGAAAAACCTACTGTATTTGTCGCACGTTAAGCTCAATGTTCGGGACAACTGGTAAGTAATACTCTCCTACTATTGAATCTAACGCATTTTAAATCTTATAATTAAATATTACAAACTAATTATAAGTAGAAAATAAATAAATATGTTCATATTCTATTGGGTATACTTTGCTTATGGAAAGCATCTAAGAACAAACCAAAAAATAACTGAAGTGTTTTGTAAAATCATATGGATTTTATTTTATTAACAAAAAGTGACAAGAGTATACAGAACAAGTCAATTACGTACTTTTGATACAAATAAATATAAATTAAGCTGTAATGTTTCAGTATATCAGTAAATATTACAAAATTACACAAAAGCTTGTGCCAAATATATAGAGAGTAAACCAAACGTAAACAAATATAAATAAATATGAGTTTAGTTGCACAATATTATTAATTAAAGTTTATAAGTCTGTCAGAAAAGTTTGCAGTTCAAAACTTAAAATATTAATTGAACTGTTTGGAGTCAGGCAGTGAGGGATCTAAACTATGTTACAATAGGTAAGTAGGTACAAATATTCGAGTACAATGATTTTTGAACAGCACTGACACATATACATAGCAGCTACAAAAATATCAACAAAACGGAAACGGGCGCGGTGGCCGTCAAGGAATAGGAGCTAAACTGTTAACGAACTGGTTACTTGATACGCATTTAAAAAAAAGAACAAAACTAGTTATTGAAAGCGTAATCGCGGGTTCCAAGTTGGTTGGTGCACAAAAACTAGTGTATGTTTTGTGTTTCCTGTGTGTGCGCGAGTGTGTCTGGATCGTTGAATTTCATTGCATTTTCGTTTTTGCGATACGTCTTTTGTTTTTTGTTCATTACGCTTAGAATTTTACAAATGAATTCAAGTACATACACATAGGTACAATTTCTAATATTTGTTTAAATATTTGTTTTTCAATTTCTTCTTAATAGGGAGCTCAAAGACTGTATAAGCAATCCATTGCGGATACATATGTATATGCGGTTTTTTTTTTTTGCATCTTTGGAGATTACATGACGGTTACATAACTGGGCGAGAGTATATATGTTTTTATGCGGGCGAGTATGTTAATATGCAGAAAGTACAACTTCTTTTTACTTGTTTCACATTCCTACTAAAGAGCACACTAAAAGTTGGCTACAATTTTGTAAAAGTCGCTGTTAAGCTTAATATTTATAAGTATTTAGTTAGGATTCGCTTCTGATTTTTCTACTATATCCATATCACTCCATTCCTCAATTTTTAACTCATGAGTATATGTGGGGTAGGTATGTATGCATGTGTGTATATATGTATGAAATTATGCTTTGGAAGATTATGGAAACTTGTGAACTCAATGAAAATTCTAAACAAATATTGAGTACATATTATACGGGTTTCGGTGACTACTGAGATTTTAAGTGGAAATTTTTGTCTTTAAATGTTGAATGGTGTACATAATCATAATGTTAACACATTGGCAATGCAAATTTTCTGTTGCTGTTGTCGTTTGAATCGAAATCTATGTTTTGATATATATATATATATATATATATATATATATATATATATATATATATATATATATATATATATATATATATATATATATGTGTGTGTGTGTCTTCTTGCTGTTGTTGTTGTTGCTATATACTTATGTCTAAAGAACGACGTCAGGCAGGTCGTGCGGCCTTGCCTAGGCGCGCATTTGGTTTTCGTGTACGATTTTTCTTTCCTTATAGTATATCTCCTCGGATTCCTTGTCGCATAGCAGTAAGACGACGGCGCCAAAGAGGAATATGGCAGCGCCCCAGCCAACACCATAGGCCCAGCCGAATTCCCAAATTGGTCGATTCGCTGAGGCATATGAATAAAATGTTATAAATATGTAAATAAAATGAATAGGTACTTACCAAGATTAAGTTCGCCTGCAAAGCAAACAGGGTACACTATCAAGGCAGACAGTACGGCCAGCACTGCAAAATAAATTTTACTACTATTATAATTTGTCATTTGTATTGATATCTTCAGGCGACTCACATGATACAAGCATTACTAAGACCGCGATGCGATAGAATTTGTATTTGAGATTGTGGTTCTGCGATTTCAAGCCTAAACCGGTAAGCACTGTGGCTATAACGTCCGTTATTAATGTAATAATGCACAGCGCTGCGGTAGCTTTAATGTAACCTAAAAACAGATGACTGTTATTAGAAACAATTTTATAAACTATTTATGTTTTACCATCTAAATAAATAGATTTGAACGTACATAATTCAAAAAATAAGAAATATATATCTTTATACATCCATACTGATCGAATATTCGACACAAGCCAAATATAACTAATTGATCAGTAGACTTAAATTTTCAAAACTATGGATTGATTTAACTGAATGTAATGCAGTGGACAAGTAAATAATCGTAGTGGAGTTTGAAGTTTAATTATTACGCACCGACATCGCGACTTGCATAGCAGCCAGGAGGATCCTGAATATTAAACGGCAGCGGTGGCATTACATCCTCCTCTATGCAATGCATAAACAGACCCTGACGCCAGCCAGCAGCCATCAGCCAATCTGTGGAAGCCAGAGCCATGATCATGAGTGCGACGACAATGACGCCACATATAAATGCAATGACCTGCCACGTAACAGCACAGAAAAAGGTTTAAGCACAGTTTTCAGACATTTTCTAGCCCCAATGATTACCTTCAACGGCCTTGTGATTGTAATGGTTTCAATTGTAGTTGTTGGCGCCATCTTTTCTGCTGGTGGACGTAGTACACTGTGTATGGAAGTGAGACTCAATATTAATTACCAATTGCACACTCTATGGCAAAAGCAACTGTATATTTTTATTAATCATACTCACCTTAAAAACTAGGAGGCAATTAGTTGCCCGAGAATACTAATTTGGAATGCTTCAATGCGTTTAGTTAAATGTTTATGTTTACTGTTTGGGTTTCGGCTTTGAAATTGCTTTTTGGTTTTGGTTAGTTTTTTTATGGGGAATAACACGGTTGTAGTTGAAAAATTGGCTTTAACGTTTAAATGCTTTAACTTGCGTTCTTATTATTAATATTTTTGTATTGCTTTTCTTTGCACGTGTTTGAGGTTTTCCAATGCGTAATGTTTTCGTAGCTTCAATTTTAAAATGCTGGCAACGGCGACAGCCCTCTCAACACCTGTTTTGAGAGTGTGTTGTTTTAGGTTTTATGGCAGGGTGGTGAGAGGAGAACAGAATTGGTAACAATTGATTAGCTTGAATCTGGGTTTCTTTATTCAAGCTGGATATTTTTGATATTGGGGCCAACTACGACTTGGTTCGTGCAGCAAAACAAAATACTTGAAAGCAACAGCAGTTAGGCATAATGAAAAAAATGAAAGCAACAACATGCATTTAAACAGCGGCAACAAAAACGAGCAGGCAAATCACCCGACAAGTTCTTGATGGACTATTTCCTTTTTTATAACTTTTTTATGATAAACGACATTGTTTTAGGGGATTGGAAGCATGGTAAATCCGAGTTTATAAAATTGTATAGTATAAAAATGCATTTTTTTTTGCATGCCACGTTTCAACGATGCATTCAATTCGTGATTCTTCATAATTTAATACATTGACTTATTAAAAATATGCGAACACAAAAATATGGATGGATTTATCTAATCTGTAGACCTCGGAAATCGACCTAATAAAATTAGACCAAAATAGAATTGGTTATAGCATTTTGGAAAATGATTATGTTATTCAATTACCAAATATTATATATTAAAAATTAGTTTCGCAACAATTTGTTCTTTCAGTTAGAGGAACATAGGAATTGTCTGATTTTCTTTCTATTTTTCGTTTTTACTTTGGAAGTCGCGCAGAAATGACAAGAAAGGAATGCTAAAGTCGAGCAGGCTCAACTCTTAAATACCCTGTACCACCCCACAAAAAAGAAATTAAATTAATTAATTAATTTGGCTATATGGCTATAACTTTTTTTCCGAACATTCTATGATAATGAAACTTGGTATACGGATATATAATCACTAACCACTGACTACCAAATTTTAGTTCAAAATTCCAAGAATTACGGGAATTATAGAAAATCGTTAATAGGGGAGTGGATCAGAAAAAATGAACAAACTCGTCCTTTCTCGGGCTCAGGAGAATCTGTATACCAAGTTTGGTTATTCTAGCTCTTATACTTTCGGAGATCCTTGCGTTCATACAGACGACAGACAGACGGACATGGCTATATCGACTCGGCTTGTCATGCTGATCAAGAATATATATACTTTGTGGGGTCTACCAAGCATCCTTTTGTGTGTTCCATGTGGACTCGCACAAAACTAATATACCCTTGTACCCTTTGGGTACAGGGTATAAAAAAAAATATTTTTTCTTAAAAAATCTGAATTGGTTTTCTATTCGTATAAAGACAGGCATTGGGGCAAAATTAATCCAGACAATTGGTTGGCGTAACACAATTTAAGATACGCAAAATACAACCAAATAAAGTGCTGCAATTTTGCAACGCTTCAATAGTTTTTGATTCATTCATCGAAATAATTTGAATTTAATTTATTTGGCCAGAATAGATACATATGTACATATGTGTGTCGGAAGTAGCGGCCTATAGGGAAGTCATGTAAATGTAGTCGAAAAAGCGAACCGGCAACAGACTGTGTACATAAATATTTACATACATACATACGTACATATGTATGTATGGGAAAACCGACAACATAAGGGAGTCTTGCGACAAAACGATTCAATTCAAATGAGCAGGCTCAGCAGCGTGTCAGATGAGAGAGGGCGCCACGGGAGTAGCAGCCGTAGAAGTGCATTGGGAACCGCGCAACTTAATGCATCATTAATTATGCGATGGCGCTGACAATGCCTTTGTGGGGGCGACGATTTGATACATATGGAAATGCTAAGACATACGCATACATACTATTATTCAGTATGTATGTATGAACATAATAATATGTATCAACATGGTACATGCAAAAACAAATGGCTGGGGAAAATGTGGCAGTGTTGAGAAAACTAAACGGGCAAGACAAACAAAAAAACATTTCTCGGCTGCCTCTTGGCATACATTGTGGGGACCAGATCAGATCAAGACGACGCGACTATTTTTAGCAATGAGCACGAGCGGCTTTTATTTCAGCATGATGATAGACGAATATTGAGCGAAGAAAATTTGCATATGGGAACACGTAACAACAACAATAGGTATTGACTGAATGGCATGGCAACAGGATCTTTGGGTTTAATTGCAATAGAATGAATGAATGAATGACAAAATGCAAAAGGAAAAGTAAAACTAGGGCATACATACAGATATAAACTGACAATAACAACAACAAGAGAATAAGAACGAACAGTGACGATGCAACGGAAGCAAAACAAAATGAAGATAAAGATAAATGGAATAATTGGGAGTACAAAACGATACCTTTCCTTGTAATAGTCCAAAGTTACCGATTCGGAATCAAATTCTGAATAATCAGGCAGCGATTCAGCATCAAAGGAGCTCATTCCGCTCAAGGCATATTGAGGCAAGTTAGGGCTTTGTTGTTGCTGCTGCTGGTAAGGGTGCTGCTGTTGTTGTTGCATTGTTTTTGAATTATGCGCAGTTGGTGTCATTTTCCTCACTTTATTTTAAAAGTAAAATGTATTTAACACCCATATACACACACTCACTGCTCTGCAATTTTAAAGAATACTATTTTGCACACAAACTATTATTTTCTCTATTTGTTTTTCTTCGTGGCCTGTGAACGTGTCTGTCTCAGTGAGAACTGCAAAAATGGCGTAGATTCAGTACCTACAGATTAGCAGCATGCACCTGAGAAATTATACACACTGTGCATAGGAGAAACCCGTTATCTTTAGTTTTTTACATTTTTAATTGCCTCAAATTCACGCACCACTAATTTGGCAAGTTTTTCACATCAAAAATAAACAAAATCGAAATGATAAAGTAGAAACTGCGCTTGCCATTCGGAGCGACTAGCGGACATGGAGATGGCAACTGACACGTTTGAATGAACTATCGATGGTCGTGCCAGGTCACGAACATATTGCTATCGAAACAGACTGCTTATTGCTGTCGCGTCGTTGTCGGTTGCGAAATTTTTAATTATTAATCTGGGTATATCTGCGAAATCCAAACAATCCGGACTGTAAAGACACTACTTGTGTGGCGGTAGGAAGTGTGGAAATTGTCTATGTGTGGGTATTTAGCGTGAGAAAGTCCGGAAACGTGTCCTGCTATGACAACAGAGGCGGCTCTAAACGCCGAAAACTTCGCTTTGGGTAGCGGTGGTGATGAGGATGTAGTTTGCCCGACCTGCGATGTCAAAATTAAACGTGGCCTTGTGGCCGAACACTGTAAGATAGAAATGGAGCGATTGCATAGCATGCAGCTGCGTTCCAACAATTCCGCCGCAGCTACATCGACTCTTGTTGAAACGACAACAATAACACAATCAAGTGAAGGCGGCGGAGATGATGGCGGCAGTCGGCGCAAGCCTTGGTGTGTGTTTCAGCGAATCCAGCGGAATCGACAAGCACGTCAGCGACAACGCACCCGCAAACGTCCTACAACGCCGACGGCCCCCTCAGCCGCATCAACTGCATCAAAGAGCACCGAACCCACCTGCCCAGTTTGCAACAAAAACTTTCCACAGTCTGAAATTCAACGGCATGTGAACCAATGCTTGCGCAGTAGCCGACGCAATGGTGTAACTAATGGCCAACGCCATTCCAGTGATGACGACGAGGATAGCGATGAGTACGAGGAGTACGAGTGGGCAGGTCAAAAGCGTGTACGTGTCTCCACGCTGGTGCAGGGGGGATACTCGTCTCTCAACTTAGGCCAGACCATAAAGTACAATGGCAGCCAACAGGCGACTAACGATGAGGACGACGAAGATCTCAATGTGGACGAAGACGACACACACATCTACGGGCCAACGCAATACGGCGAAGAAGATGTAATATCACTAACCAACGAGGACACTGACGGGGATGTTTCGGAGGCAGATGTGACCCGATATGTCCGGCAGCTGCTTTCGTCCAACGAAATAAGCAAAACTAACCATTCCAATGGAGCGAACAACGTTCACCCAACGACTGAAGCGATGGAAGATTCAGATTGTCACAGTCCCACGCCATCCACATCACAAGCACCTTCCACATCACGTAGTAGCAAATCCGCCCAGACTCAACAGCAAATAATTGAGTCCTTAAAGGCTAAGTTACGTCTATACGAAAAGCAGGCGCAGAGCAAATTCAAATGCCTGATTTGCATCGATGACTACAAAAATCCCGCCATTTCCGTTTCCTGCTGGCATGTCCACTGCGAACAGTGCTGGTTGCAGACTCTAGGAGCTCGAAAATTGTGTCCGCAATGCAATTCAATTACAACGCCTAAGGATTTGCGGCGCATTTACCTGTAAGCGGTGACGCATCATATGCTCACAGTATTTGCATTTATGTATTTTGTAACTTCCCATCCTTTAAGAAGGTTTGGTAGTTGGCTAGCCCTTTATTTTTCGTTGTATTATATAAGTTATTTTAAATATACATTTAATGATGCTATGATTATAACGTACGTGACATAACAATAAGAAGTATGTAACGATAACAATAAACCATCAGAAATTAATCAAAAGATTGCGGTTCACATATCTGTTAACCAATTTTAGTTTTTATTTTGATGGTTAAATATTAACAAAAAATGTATTTTTATATTTTAAAATGTGAAGCCTTGCCGCCAGTAATAAATTGGTAATTAAATAAAATTGTCTGGCAGCACTTCAAAATACTAAAAGTACTTGCAGTATTTATCAGCAGTTACTGCCTCTGTCGCCTTGCTGACAATTCAATATGGCTTGAGTTGGCAGTACCTCTGCTTCGTGAACTAAGTGAAAACTTGAAGTTTTTGTCTCCCGTGGACTTTTTTCCAGGAATAACTAATTCGCAAAAACGCGCGATCGTTAAGAGCGTTTAGTTCTATATATATTGTGAAAGTTAAAACGTTTTTTGGAACCATCGAAAGCGTCGCAGTTTAACGCAGAACACTGGTGATTGTGTGCGGGCCACAACCTCATCGCCGCCCCCGCCACCTTCTCGTCGTCGAAGTTGTTGTCGCCACCTCGCTGGGACCTACGGACAGGTCCAGTTTTATACAGAAATACTGCAACTTGCATACGTCGCGCGTCGATTATGTCATTTATTAATAAGAAGCGTCTTAATGTTGTTTAAAAATGCGTTAAATGTTGCACGTACGACACCAAAAACCTCTAAAAATGTAGACTGCGAATGTGTGCGCAGATAATGGATGTTAGTTGTAGCTATATAAATAAGTACATACATATATACATACATATAGAAAGATATATGTGTACGCAAAAATATACATACATATTTATATAAAGTATATGCGCCGCAGCACGTCGCCGTTGTTGTTGCCATCGCCAACCACCGGGACCCAAGTGCGGTTTGGCTGCTGCGATGCCTCACGCTAGACAACCACTGTGTCGTCTTCGATAGAAAAGTCCTACAATTTGAATACACATAAACACACACTACTGAAACACCACAAACGTCAAATGGCCACATTCAATGCAAATGCAACAGCTAACGCCGCGGACGTCTTGAGTTCCTCGGTTGCCGCCGCTGCAGCAGCAGCGACATTTCTAGTGCCCTCCACGACAACGCCAGCCGGAGCAGCCGCTGGCACACCACTGCACTTAGAACAGTTTGGTGCTATACCAGCAAATACGCATTATGTGACTGCGCCTCTGCATCACCATCACCAGCAAACTAACTCCTCATACACTTTTGTGCAAATCAAGCGGGAGCCTTGCCAAGTTTCTGAAATTAGCTCCAATAATTGCCATCAGCAACAGCAGCAGCAGCAGCATCACCACCACCAGACGGCTTCCACATCACTCACAGCGGCTGGTCTGGGCACCGTTTCGTCTTCCTCAGTTACAGCATCGGCCACATCCAAGACCATGTCGTCATCCACTCTCACAACCCTGGTAAAAATAGAGGCTTCTTCGCCCAAAGTATCAGATTTGGAGAAGACGACGACGGTGCCACCGCTGGGGAGCACAAGTATGTTTATTTGCCCGTCTGCCCCCTACTTGCTAACACAACACCCTCACTTCTAGGCAACTCTGTGCCCATTGGCATTGCAGTAGCACGTAAACGTCCTCAGGAAACTACAACAGCCACCCTGAACAGCGCTGCGACCCTGCCGCTGCAGCAGCCACTGAGCAAGGATATGAATTGCTTCGGCATACGCGTAGCAGACTTGGGTAAGTTTTTGCTGTAATTCAATAAAGTGGCAGAGATTCTTGCCGTTGGCTAAAATGGGCATGGAAAGGGCATGGATGCTTTATAAATGTTCGACTTTGATGCTAAAGCCGCTCGCTTGTTCCCAGGGGCATCATTATGGTGAAAAAAGCACGACCGTGCAACTGCTTTCCTTCGTTCACTGGGCGGTATGGACTTCGTCCAATTATGGCACTAATAAGATTTCCACAAACATTGAAAAATTCCATCAGTGAGTTAAGGGTGTGGACGCCATCCTTTTCGTGGTAGTCGTAGTTGTCGTCGGCACCGCTCTCTCGCACAGATGGTGGTGGTGCTTTAAACACCCCGTTAAGTGGGCAGAAATCATATGATGCGATCGGCCGCCTGTTCGGTAGTTAACGTACCGAGTTATTGTGACAGCCTCTAACTCCCCCCCACCAGGGCTCGACAGACCGATTGGGACTGTATGTGACTGTGCTCTTCACTATGGGCGCTTAAATATTAAAACGCAAACATCGCGCTGTTTTCAACTGCAAACAACCCCATGGAAAATTATATAAAATTGTAAAGAAGGAAGTTAACGATGGGAATTAAGCAGAGTGTACGTTTTTCGGTTGGGTGTTGTTGACTAACTACTACGCTATGCCACATAAATAACGTATTTGATGTATGTGAGCTTGAATTTTTAATACATGACTAGGAGATCGAACTAGGTAGCACTGTTTTTAGCAGTATTTGTTTAAGAATTAAGATTTAGCATTTTAGAATTTGCTGTATGAACTCAATATTTTTCATTGTATAGAATTTTTTTGTGCACATCCGTTTACTAGGCACGAAATACAATACAATACAAAGGGTTTTTTAAATCTTTTATAAACTGACTTAATTTGTGTTTAATTAAGTAGTTTGTTTAGATAAAAAGAATTAAGAGTTATCTTAGCCACCACTTTAAGCTTTTTAGGTATAGGTCTATTTTAGTTAATCATTATTATCATTATCAATTTTTTAATTGTGTTTTTCTGCGGGTATCTGAATAAAACTATTTTTCTTATTTCACATTTAAATGTATCCAAGTTGCCGATGGTTTATTGCGCTATGTTTGAAGAGGTGTGATATTTAGAAAAAGAAACGACAGAGTTAAACGAGCGATCTGTAAATGAACGATATACATATGGTTTGTATTAATATGTCATTTAAAAGCGAACAATTGCATTCAAAATGTACTATCTTTCCTAATTTGTTTCTTTAAAACACTCTTCCACTTCGATCGTGGCAGAACTGCGAGCGGGCATTACGCAGTATCGGCAATCTTATATTGAAATCTTACTAATAAAACGGTTTTCATTTGGAAAGAACCGTCTTCGTCTGTTGAAAGGGAAATGTACCCGTAAAACAGCACCCTATAAAAGCAGATTTAAAGAAAGATTATTCGTAGTAGGTAGTTGTTGGTGGGTGTTTTTTGCGTTTTCGGCTGCTTCGAACAACTTCAGTGTTTGTTGTTGCAAGTACACTCAACAATTATGTGAGGCGATACGTCGGCCATATGGGGGTAAGAGCGGAAACAGAAACAGCAGCCTTAGGCCGCAGCCTTAGTCTCAGCCTCAGCAGTTGGAGTTTCAGCAACAAGGGATGGATGCTCACATGCTGGGTGGCTGGTTGTGGTTGTGACTGCTGCTATGGTTCCTGTTGTGGTTGTTGTTGTTGTTGGCAATAGCCATATTGCTGCATAGCAATATGAGACTCTAAATGATTTGAGTATGTGACCATATGGCAAAGTCGCCCTCCCCCGTCAATCGCATGAATTTGGGTTTTGTACGTACATATGTATGCTCATATATGTATGTATATTTGAAGTCATGATTGGATTTAAGGTATATATGTAAGTGTGTATTTGTGTGTGTGTGTGTGTTATATCGAGTTGTTTGCAAAAATTGTGTGGGCACAGAAACGTCAAACTAATTGTATTTTAAGGCGACTTTCCTGCCCGTTCGCTCTTCTTTCGGGTTTGTTGCATACTTCTGGGGAGCATATCAATTTGTGACATACAATGCACTACAATTAGTGAGGGCATATAAAAGATAATTGGATTTGTATGTGAAATTATATGCCACAAGCAACGACGAAGATGTTAATGGGAGTGTGGGGATGTGGGGCGGGGTGGTGGATGGTTTGCAAGCGCCAAATGCATAGTTCAAGGACATGCAATATTTTTCGTATACACACACAACGTGGTATCTCACACATAGAGACATACACACACATACATATATGTATATATATATATATATATATATATATATATATATATATATATATATATATATATATATATATATATATATATATATATATATATATATATACTTGTGTATTATATAAAAACTTGTGTATTAAACAATTGAGTGCCGAGTTGAGTCAGTCGTGGTTTGTTGTTCGTTAAAGCTGTGCGCGCGTAAAACCTTAAAGAAATGTAAAAACAAAACAAATTAAATTAAATTTATTTTAACTATAGTTGGGGCTGACGACAAGGTGGAGCAATCTTTGCATTATAACATGAATATGTCTAATATTGTGGAGTGTAGACAAATTTCATTTGCCTGTCTGCTGTTGTAAGCGCTTCCTGTTGATTGTACAGCAAAGTATTTTTCATTTTCGATTTTTTACATTGTCATTCCTTTACCTTATTTCATTTCATTGTAGGTGCCCCCAGCTGTGGCAACCTGTTTTTTACGGGCAACGGCGATTTGATGACCAGTTCAGCCGCCGCCGAGGAGTTGGCTCTGAGCGCTGCTAGCGTCAATCGTGCGCCTTCTGCCTTTTGGCAGTATTCAAGTAAGTGCATCATCCTTTGACTTTGTGCAAAAGCCACTTGCTGCCTTCATTGCATCATAAGCAATTCTAATTTCGTTTTGTTTCGATGACCCGCACCTGACTATTCGACACTGCTGTAGAGATAAGCCTGGGACGGAATTGCTTGAATAAGTAGATGTTTATTCCTGATGTTTGCATTTACAATGGTGTTTATGCCAGTAATTCCATTCCGTGTTTATATCTTCATCTATTTTGTATCTTCTATCCTCTTTGATGTCTTCTTCATCTTTTTTTTTTTTGTTGCATGTAGATCCATTACCCATTGAATCAGTGATTTCCATGTCGCCCGCCACAGTGGGCTTGCAATACTCACGCGAGGCGAGCCGCGGACAGGTGGTGCTGCTGCCCGCCGCTCCAGCAGCGCTTGGTAAGTGTATGCAAATAGCTGGAAATTACTCAAAAATATTGCATAGTGCCTGTGTAAAAGATAATATGCTATAAAGGAAGTGCGAATCGAATACAAGGCTTTTATAAAAATCATGATATTTGCAGTTTGACACTTATAAAGAACACTGCTGTGAATTGGCAGATAATTCCTAAAAGGCAATTTTTTATATTATATGTCTGAAGAAGGCAATTAATGTCAATAGTAGTGAAGGTATGATGAAGTTTATAAGAAACGGTTCTCATCGCACTTTTTCTATAAGTTTATTCATAGTTTTGTAATTTCATGCCATCACTTATCACATACTACTATATATCGCTTTAGTCAAAATTTAAGCTAAGTTTATTTAATTTGATTACGATTTTTCGCCAATATAAAACTAATTCATGCTTTTATAACTGCGCTTCTTTCCTCCCACCACCACAAACCTTAAACAATTTATACGTCCACCCAATATCCGAAACGACATCCAACGCCGCAATCCGTCACATGAAAAAATTTCCAAAACAATCGTAAACCGTATGTGCATAGGCATATCAAATTTTCCTATCTTAACACCCACAGATCCGTTTCAACAGGCAGCAGCAGCAGCGGCCTTCGTCTTACCGTACATACCCCAGGCCGCTGCGCTGCAGCAGCAACAACAGGCGCAGCAATCCTCGCCTGCCAACTTCTTTTTCCCCCCGATGGCCGCACATTCAACATTGAGCGCCACGCCATCATATGCCTCCCCATTGCAACTTTATTTGGCCGCTGCAGCCAACCAGCAGACGAACACAAGTAGCACCACGACCACCAACTCTATTAATTTAAGCTTGAGTGGTGCCACCAGTAGCAGTTGCAGCAGCAGCATGAGCAGCACCAGCTCGCGTTTCCTGAGTCTGGCCACCACAGCGCCGGCGGCCATGAAGATGGAGGAGTACAATGCTAGCGAGTACAAGCATACAACTCTAGCGGCGGCGCAGCCGCTCTCGTTGCCTGTGCCGCCGTTGGTGCCGCTGGCACCACCGCCACAAACCACCGCTCTCAACTACGAGATGCGTGACAAGCTAACGAACACAAATAGCACCTCATCCAATCTTCTGGAGCTGCAGGCAAGCAGTGCACAACACGCCCTGAATCTAATGCGCTTGCCAACACCGCCGACTTCGGCCACAATTGAATCGGCACTCAGCCAACAGCCCCATCAAATACTCTTCCAGACGGGCGCGGCCTCGCTGCCTACACCAACAACGTCCATAGGACCGCCCACGCCCACACCGGCATTGCTGAATCTGTCCATGCACAGTGCGACGTCGTTACCCACACCAACCACGTCCATAGGACCGCCCACGCCTGGTCCTGCACCCTGTGATGAAGCGGCTCTTAACTTTAAGCTGCACACCCCGCTAACGCCGCAGACCCCACCACGTTTAGTGGTGAGCAGTGGAAATCCACCCAGTGCCGTCACCTCTCTGATGCCACAGATGCAGGATGTTAATATCCAAACCGATACACCGGTCTGCAGCGAGGATGAGAACTCATCCTGTCCGCTGAAAGTGCAGGAAACAGATGCTGATGCAGCGCAGCAGCCGCTAGAATTGACAAAACAGCCCAGTGAACATGTAACCGAGTGCCATAATCAAGCCAGTAACAGTCCCAGTGCAGCAGCCTTTAGTAGTTCCATTGAGCCAGTGCATAAGGAAGCGCTGCCAACGCAAATGCAACCCTTGCAATCGGTGCAGCAGTCGGCAAAGCTATCCCCCCCGCAAGCGGCGGCTGAAGACCTTACCGGATTGGAGTTGCTGTCTAATATCAGCACTAACAGTACCCCCCTGGTGCGTGTCAAGCAGGAGCCCATGGAGCATGCCGAGCAATTGGAGCATGCATTGGTGCCAAGTGCGGTTATGACTACACGACGGCTGACGCCACCCCCACCAGTTCAAGTGACCACAGCGATCGATGTAGTCGCTCCATCGGAACCACTTGGCGGCCTCAAGCTGCTTTGTGCGCTTGCCGAACAGCGTATACAAGAGGAAGAGGTGCAGGGTAGTAGTCTCTTTGCCACGCCCACCTCCCGCACACCTTCCCCATCATTACCATCGTCACTACCGACACGCTCGCCCGAGGCTGTTGTCATGGATTCTGGTAGCATATTGACAAAGTCATGTTTTGGTTTTACGCAGCAACAGGCACCAAGTTTTCGTCTGGAGACGTCCACTTTCCAGATGTCGCTGAGCAGCAGTAGCGGCACATTTCCCTCAATGGAGGGCATTGAGCTGCCCACCACGTCCAGTATGAGTGCCAGCTGTGAGCTGTCGCCCGCCAAGCGTAAGAAGCACAAACATTCCAAGTCCTCCTCGAGCGCCTCTGACAGTCGCAAGTCATCGCGTTGCAGCAAAAAGAGCAAGAAGAAGCGGAAGCATAGCAGAGAGGTTGCCATTGGTGGCGATCCAGGTGAGGAGCTGGATCTGGAGGATGAACAGCTTAAGTCGGAATTGCGCACTGCGCTTCACCCGATGAATCAAAATCAAAGCGATGCCGAGCGTCTCAGCCGGGAGGTCTATAGCATCATGGACAATAATATGCGCATGCGGTTGGCGAATATTAACCGCCAAATTCGCAAGAAGAAGCGCAAACTCGATGAGATTAACAAATTAAAAAAGAAAAAATGCTCCAAGCAGCAGCAGCAGATTCAGCCCCAGCCCACACAGATAACATTGACGTCGACGCTTTCAGCGCTTCACTCAAACAACGTCCTGAGGTAACTGCTATCAGCAAAAACCATTTTCAATTATATTGTTTTATTAATGTAAATCATTATTCTTTTGCCTCACAGCACTTCATCGCCTTTGCGGGACTACAAATTTCCAAAATTTTCGAGCAGCAATTTGCAAGGATCCAGTTTTCTGCGCTTCCCAGAGAAGACGCACTCATTCCCACCTCCACTATCGCCTGCACAATTGTGCACCAATCCAGGCGACAGTCTTTTGCCCTCTGGCAGTAACGTTAATACTCCGTCTTCGTCGTTTGTGCGGCTCGAGCCCAGTGCTCTTGATGCGGCAAATAATAGTCGGGTGACAGCTTCTAGTGCCACTTCTGTGTCCTCTTCCCCCTCTACCTCTTGCTTGGTGTCTGGCAATGGTTCTCGACTAGCACACAAACATTCGGCCGGCGACAAAGCCGCTCATCAGTTGGCACGGAAGGAGCGCAAACTTGTGGCTAAAAACGCGGCTCGAACAGCGGCGTTGGAGCAACGCGAAACATCAGTCGCTAATGGCAGTACTAGCAACAACAATAACAATAATAATAATAGCAGCAACAACAGCAATAAAAGCGCCATAGATCGGGAGCTGCAGCTCACTAGCGAGCATTTGTATCGCGACGAGACCCGCGTTCTCACGGACATGGGCGGTCTGTTTTATGCTGGTGTAATGAAGCCCTTGCGGCCGCCCGATGTTTATGCAATCACACTGGACGGTGAGCGCGGCAACAAATCACATGTGATGTCGCGAGAGGACATACTCAAGGATACGGTGAGTTTAGATCCAGTTATGAGTTATGTTATACCTGTGGAAGAAAAGTTAAGGTTGCATATTATCGGATTCAATTGCTTTACGATATGTTTAGATTATTTCTTGAGATTAAAACTTCTCTATTTACCTACAGATACTCGAGGTGGCGCCGAAGAGTGTTGACAACGTGCCTGTGGGCACACGCTTATGTGCCTACTGGAGTCAACAGTATCGCTGCCTTTATCCAGGTCGTGCCATTGAATCCGAACCTTTTCTGGATGCTGCAGCACCGGCAACACCGCAGGACTTTGTGAGCGTGGAGTTCGATGACGGTGACAGCGGCAGGATCCGCTTGCAGAACATACGTTTTCTGCTTAGCCATTATCCGATTGCGGGTAAGAATACCTGAAGTAAAGTAGATTACTCAGTCTTACACAATTGTTACGAGGTTGATAAAAATTACACTAATTGGCGCTATCGCTATTTTATTGACGGTCATTAACGGGAATTTCTTTTTGGAAACGTTATCTAAATTAATCTAAAAACTTATCTATATAGAAGTGTACATACTTATTTAATAAATAATATTTATATAGGACATTTCATTAGGGGACAACATTACAGGAATAACTTTGATAGGAATATCTTTCGTTTACTTGTGTGTGTGTTAGCATCTTTATTTATTTCTACCTTTTCGTTTCCCTTCTTTGCATTGTGTTCGTGTGTTGCGTATCGTACTCGGCCACCATACAGAGTACAACGATAATCCCCTCTACTCCTTAGGCAAGCAGAAGCGTAGCAGTGCTGGTGGCAGTGGCTCCCGCAGCGGTGGCGACACACAGGCCGCGAACGAGCATAGCTCTCTGTCCGGCGATGATCATCATAGCCACCATGGCTTTGCCATGACCACTGACAATATGACGTCACTAGCCGCCACTATGGAGCTGTTTAATCAACGCAGCGAAAAGAAGCGCCTAAAGAAGAGTCAAAAGAAACTAAACAAATCACAAAACGGCACTCAACAGGCAACAATTATCAACAATAATAACAGCAACAGCGGTGGTACTGTGAATGGCTGCCACAACGGTGGCACGGATGTGAGCGTAGCGCCCAGCGACAATCTCACTGAGGGTAGTCGGAAGCATCATAAGCACAAGAAGCGCAAGAAGCACAAGAAGCATCATAGAAAAAATGCCAACGAGGCTGAGGGTCAGATTTACTTAACACAAGCTGGTATTGTTCCACACATGCCGGAGGCCGAGTCGGAGGCAATAGATGTGACTGCACCTACAATAGAGTCCTCTTTAGATTCAAAAGCCGCCCAACAGCGCGGTAGAGTGGATGCACTGGCTAAAGTTAAAACGGAGCAATTGGACATGGAAGAGGAGACTACGTCCAACATGATGTCTGAGATATCTGATGAGGTGAGCATTAATAATGAACTCGTCTATTTCTGGTTAATCCCATTATACGAGTAACCTTGTGCTAAACCAATTTATAATTCAAATCTCTTCTAGGTCAAGGGCGACGAACTGGTTGAACACAACAACTCCAAAGGCAGCAGCAAAATTGCAGCATTTTTGCCGGAGCGGCAGCTTTGGGGTTGGTTTGGCACCGCCTATCGTAAGGCGGGCGTCAAGGGTCGAGCCAGAAAGCAATTCTACAAAACAATCAAAAGGGGAAAGGAGACCATTACGGTATATAAAATGGAATTAGAAGCAGTAACACAATGTTAATTTATTTGTATGGATTGCCTTGCAGGTCGGGGATTGTGCAGTATTTTTATCAACTGGAAGGCCGGATCGACCTTACATTGGACGCATTGAGTCTATGTGGGAGACCACTACTGGCAATAAAGTAGTGCGCGTAGCTTGGTTTTATCATCCAGAAGAAACGACGGGCTGTCCCAAACTTAAATATCCGGTAGGGTTATTATATTGTATACAAAAAATTGTTGTTATTTTTCAATAATTTATATTGTATATTTTCAGGGTGCTCTCTTTGAATCGCCGCACGAGGATGAGAACGATGTACAGACCATATCTCATCGCTGCGAGGTGCTGCAGTTTCCAAACTACTTCGCCAAGTTCGGCGCCGATGCGAAGCAATATCAATCCATATACGATAACAATGATACATATTATTTAGCTGGCAAATATAACCCAAGGTTACTAGTGCTGACACTACAAGACGATATTCCAACTCTCGAAGAGCTGCAAAATACTACAACTACAACAACTACTACGGAGAATTAATTAAGAAGAATGCATTGATAGCAGAACAAGCATAATGGAAATGCATACAAATCTATATATACACACATACAATATTATATTATATTATACATATATTTTACTATATATACGTGAAACAAAACAGAAAACGAAAACAGAAACAGATGAATCATATATGTATACACATATTATTTCTATATTTTAAAGCGTATATTTTAAAAGGAAAAACAAAAATTTAGTGAGAGAGAGAGAAAAAGGAACTAAGCAACTAAAACTATACATGTGTAAGCTTCAAGCAAAAGCAACTGCAATTTTAAGTCTAAATTGTATAATGGAAACAAACGAGGAATGAATGTTGAAATTGAATTCGAGTTATAAAAATTCAAAAACGTATTGAAAGTTCCGCAAAATGTTAACAAACAGCACCGTCTAACGTATGGCAGGCAGGCAGACAGGCTGCCATTTGTGAGTGCTCCTTAATTTCTTTACAACCACCACCAACACAGCTCCATAAACAAACACGCATACATACATGTATACCACATAGGTCTTACCTATATACATAAAAAACAATAATACAATTGTATTTCAAATGAAGTTTAAAACATGTTTAATGATTTTAAGCAAGAAACATGCAGCAACTACTACTATAAATGTAACAATTCAATGTGATAGCAAAACAAAACAGATGTTGATGTGTAAAGAGAGAGAGAGAACGATGTTTAAGAAAATAAATATAATAATAAAAGCAGAAAACAAGCGGCTATTAATTATTTGCAGATGGTAATTATTCCTCGGCAGACCTAGTTTAGTTTATGGGTTGGTAGTATGGTGGCCAAATAGCCAATTATCATTCACGTAATTGGTAGGTTAATGGATTGTTCCGGAATGGGGTCGCTTTTAATATGAAAGACCAGGGCTACGTTTAGCTAAATGGCTTATACACTCTGTGTCCAATAGGTTGAACTTGTGTCTCTTTACACCCTTCCTCAAAAACCATTAAGTACCAACTTCACATCAAATAAATGTGGACGCAGATGCAGAATGTAGTTAAGAGACAATTGAAGGCTTGTCATCTTTCGTTTGAAAACTCTAAGCCAAAGACAAGCTATAACAAGGTTATAATGATACAGGTTTGGCCGAAAGAGAGAAAGAGCGATTTCTATAGACGATTTCTAGGAAGAGCAATCCGCTATCTTTTGCGTACCTAATTGAGGCTTTAGTAAATCAAGCCTAAAACATTTTTGATGGATGGGGCTAGTAACTCTATGACTCGGTATAGAATGCTGACAATGAATTGAAAACCGACAAATAAAATAGCTCGCTCTAGTAAGTTCCAGCAAAACCTAACTAAATTATATTTTTTGTTTTCAACTTACTTTCATGTGAATTTTGAAACTTGTAGTTAAGCAATCAAACAAACATTTACTTTATTTCCATTAGATCTCTCAATGGCAACATTTTTCATTTCTGTATTTCCACTATTATTACTATATCAATTTTGTCTTATAATCCGACACTCCAATTTTATTAAACGCCGGGCCGTAATTGACTAGGAATTGTAATTTCCAATCACAGCGTTTCCGAAATTACTCCGAAATCAGAAAGTAATGCGTTTCTGTTGATGATTTGGAATGCCTCGAGAAACTTAGCTTCTGAAGTCCGGTAGAAGGTCGTATTACCCTTTGCGTATAAGTATTTGGTGGCATTCGAGACACCTGTGCCGCACAATGCGTGCGTTGCCTGGCAATGGCAACTTCTAGTATTGATCAAACAATCGATGGGGAACTACAATCATTTGCATTTGGTAGGCGCGAAAAAAGGGAAGAAGGGATCGGATCGAAGCGAATGCGTGCATAGGCAGGCGATATATAATAATTAAAGGGCTATTTACATACGCGTGGCGGTTTGTGGGGCCACGACTGAGGCTACTCCGAAAATGAGCACGACACCAAAATGGTACTGCCGCAACAAATCGCAACCGATGCACACGTTTGCGGAAATCAACAAATTGGGCCTGGAGCTGCGCCGCATTACTAAGCGCATTGTCATCGATGTCAAGGTGGATATATTCAGCGAGCATGTGAGTTATGCAATTGAATCTGTCTAATGTGGATGTAGAATGCAGCCAATCTTTCTTAGGATAACATACTGGAGGAGTGTGAGCGCATTGTTGAGCTCTATTGGAGTCTCAAGGACGAGACGAAAAATGCAGACTTTCAGTCGCTCTCGAAGAAAATCAAACGCAGTCCGTACAATGCGCTGCTGATGAAGAAGTTCAACAACATTATGGAGCTCAACGATAGGCGCTTTTGCCAGCTGACCTTTGTCCTAAAGCGCACGGTGGGTGTAGAGATAGGTACCCCGGTTTGCACTTGATTGCTCAGATTGCTTTGTCTTCCAGTTGAGTTTCTTGCTGCGCAAATCCATGCAGTCGGAAATGTGGCTCAATTGGGCCCTACATATCACTCAACTGTATAACAAGTGTCGCAAGGTCGAGTGTAAGTCGCCACCAGAGGTGAGTGCTCCTATCGAGCCAGCGAACGAGGAGGATGTGGAACTGTTGCTGCCAGAGCCAAAGTTCGCCGGCAAGAACAAAGAGGAAATGCACGCCAATGTGTGCAGCAACATGTTTCCCGCACTCTTGCTCTCACTTAAGACCATCGACTTCAGCTACGTTTTACAGGTTAGTCAAGCAAAAAAAGAGCATTGTCACTGAAGGCTTTCATTTCCATTTTCTACTGGAACAATGTTTGAGATTTTTACATCGAACCTTTGGTAGTCCTATATTTATGAACACACAATAATTAATCCCCTATTATGAATATGTACGAAAGTCAGAGGCACACAAATATATTTGATCGTAGGATAATCATAATTATATAGTCGAGGTTGTAGATCTTCTGATATTTTACGAGTGTGTTGTCTTCACACGTTGCCTATAAAGTTAAAAAGTAATTTTGTTTATTCAGCCAAAGTTCCTTTTACGAATATTATTGTACTATATTATTTGTTTACTTTTCTATTTTTAAGCAATATCTGTTTAATTTGATAGTTTAGTTGACATATGTATATTCTACATTTATTTTGTATTAGCATATTCAGATTGCCAGGCAGCACGTTTCAAAAATGTTCTTTATTTAGATTGTCATGTTAATAAGTGCTTTTTAAATGCGCAGCAGTAAAAACCATTTTATATAATTAATGTGATTTAATTAGTTTCGGGGGATTTAACTGGCTTCGGTTAAGTGCTTCGTAATTGTGTAATATTTGTACAAATTAGTTTATTAAATTAAACAACAATCGGTGGCAACAAAAGCAACGTTTGAAAGCGAGGTGGACGGCTGTTGTCTCTAATTAGCTCATACAAATTATGAAGTGATTATATTCAATATTCTGAAACCCTGTCTGGTGCTTAAAGTGGGTTCGGTTAAGTGCTTCCCATGATAAACGCAGAGGGGTGCTGTTTTAAGAATTTAATTCGTAAATATTAGTTTATATATGTATTTTTATTTAATTATATATGGGACACACGAATAAAATAAAATTATTAAGCGAATGTTAGGACCCTTCTGAAAAACAACAATGACTTGTGATCGTCCCCCTTTTAAGCACTACTCTGCACATACTTTGACAAAATGTCCACATTTTTTCTGAGTGTATGCAACTGTCTTTCAATTTAGCTTGTAGCCCAAACGCGCGTGGAGCAGAGTGCATTGGACCTGGTCTTTGGATTGTTCAATATGGGCGAACAGGACGCCTGGCGTGATCATCACAACGATGAGTCCACTTCTTCAAGTCTCGAGATATTGCGCACCTTGAATATATCCTTCGGAGCAAGCGCTGGTGCTGTTGGTGGCGAATATCAGCCATATTGTGAGTCCGCCCCGGACTATAACGCCTTGCATATATCAGGAGAAGATGACAGAGAACAGGATCAGCAAAGCTTGCGATGCAAGCACACTGAGAGTTTCCTGCAAAAGGAGCGCGTGTTCATCGCACAGCTCATAACGAAGGCCGCGGACATTTGCCCAACAATTTTTGGTAAGCTCTGCATCATAACAATTATTTGTTAAGGTGTGTAATTATGAGTTACATATGTAGAGATGGGCAATCAAACTTCTGTCGACATGCATCTGTATATTGGGCGTGGTTTGAGACTGTTGTGGTCCTATGTGGGTATTATTTTGGATCACATATTACTCTGGTGGATTGATACTCCTGTCTCCTGCTACAGTCTAACCCACATAGATTCCATACGCAGCTGGCTCTATCATCAAAGTGTTAATGGTAAGAAAGTGGGGACATTTTTTGTGGGGCCTCATCTAATATTAACTTTTTTCTATAGATGTTCCCGAGCCTGTGTTTTCCACTTTGCGCGGCATTGGCGAAATCTTGACAGGTTTTGTTTGTAACAACATATGGGATCAATTGTTTCGCCTGACCCTGATATCGGCCAGTAATTCCAAGCGCTTGGTCGATCAATTTGTTGAACAATATCGTGACTGCCCCAAAAATGTAAGTCATCATCCATATATCGAAATAGTGCATGAAACTTGGCTTATTTCAAGGATCATGGTACTCCCACGGGGACTGTATGGATCAGCGTCTTCTCCAACTTGGTAAACCTGAGTAATCAGTACTTTTCCAACACGGACACACACAACAATTCCAGTTTACTGCCAGTGGCCGAACAAATACCCATATTGCACAGACTGGGTGAGTCTTTTAGTTGTACAGAGTGGTCCAGAGGATATAAGAGTAGGGCTGGCGTGACTTAGGATTCTACTTCCTCCTTTCTGTGCAGACCATTCCGTACACTCCATGCGCTTGTGGGTAAAGGAGCAGGCCAAGCTCCTCTGCTGCGAGTGGAAAATGGATCACTTCTTTCAAATACTGGAGCACGATGTAAAGCTATGCCTAAGAGTTTTTATTACCTTTAAACTGCCCAAACTCACTGCCGATCTGACCGACATACTTATGTTGGTCTGCGTTGCCCTGCGCACAAAACTGATAGCCGAGGTTAATGCCAACATAGACAAACTAAAGGTAGGATATTCAGTCAGCTGGTGATTAAGACTAAAAGGTGTTGTCCCTTGAAGAAAACCACCGATGAGTGTGTTCTGATATTATCTGCTGTCTGCCGGGAACTCAGCCTGGCCAACTTCACGCTCTGCTTTCCCGCCGCCATTTACTGGCAGCGCAACGTCTACGACAACGAGGAGAAGAGTCTGTATGTAGGCTATGTGCTCGACCAGATCTACTTGCCCACAATAAAGGCCACTAAGGACATTGTCATACTGAAACTGATACTCAAGCTGATCTGTGAGGCGTGGCTGGACTTCATCTTTCAGAAACGGATACGGTTCAGTGTGAATGGTGCCGTGCGCTTGCTCAACGACTTCGATGATGTGCGGGAGTGGATTCTCAGCTGCACTCTGCTAGATGAGGAGCAGCTGGAGAAGTTAAGCAACCACGAGGTGCTGCGCATGTGCAAGGGCGTGGGAAAAATATTGCTACGCAAACCAGAGGACGTTATTTCCATAACGCAGTCCCCCAAGTTCGACAAGAAATCTCGTAAGTTCCAATTTTTGTCGTGTAGACGAGAGGTCCTACATTCTATGCTTTGCTTGATAGAAGATGCCTCAGCACAGGACACTCAACTTCCCTCGGAAATGTTCGTGTCGAATCAGAAGCATTGGTTACAGCTGCGCGCCGGAGGTGGCAATGGGTTTCCTTTAATGAAGCTTTGCTGTGGTGATGCTATGATTTAAGAAAATTATGTTTATTGTGTCGCAAAAATGCTTACAAAAATGAAGGAGAATATCATAGGTGTACGAATATATGTATGTTGTAATGGGCGCTATAGTTATTTGCTTATAGTATGTACGTGAAGATTTATGGGCATGGGCCAGCAAATGGACCATAGAGAAACTTTGTCTTATGCAGGCACTTTGCGACTAATGATCTTGACCAGCTCGTCGACGCGCTCGCTCTTGCCGGCAAATTGTTTTGGATGCGGGCCAATCATCTGTATAATGGCGGCTACGTCTGGTGATACCTAAAATATTGACAAGAGAAATATTATAGTTGGTGACAGCTGTCAGCGTGGAATGGGCGCAAGTCATTTCATAGAGCTCATTTCAAAAATGTAGGCCAAGTTCAGTTTACCTCAAGAAAACGTGCGAGCGCTTTAAGGGAGCGAAAGATTTGATCTTCATTTGGACTGCTCTGGAAAAACTGTAGTATAGCCATGGCCAGCTCGATGGCCACATCATCAAAGACCTGAATTACACATGAATGGAAGAGTAGTTTATAATCAAGGTTTAAATGGTCAACAGCTGTTCGTACCACAGTTTTAACCTCCTTGATTGCAATGTTGTAAAGGATCATGGAACCAATATTTTTCAGCTGCGGACAATTAGAGAGTATGCAGTGTACGGCTACCTTTGTAGTTACGCGAATATTAGAGATTGTTTGCCCATTGTATTCCCATTCAGAAATATACAGCAGCCACTCAGAGGGTCCCACATTCTCAAAGAGATTGCACATCTGCTCCATAGAGAAAGTGAGAGAGAGAGAGAGAGAGAGAGAGAGAGATACTCATACTCGATACTCATTTCACTAATAGACTCAGGGAACACTCACAAACATGGCCCAGGCCTGCTGCTCTTCAGGTGTGTGCTTATCAATGTCCTGTGCAAAATTCATCAGCGTATGGTCCCTGCGGTCCTGATGCAGAATAATTATGACATCGTCCTTGAGCGCTGCGTAGGCCAGTGTGCGTATCAAGTGTATCCGTGTGTCTGGCGAGAAGGCCTGCACGTCGCGCAGTACCCGTTGGACAAACACCAGGAAGTTATCGCCCAATGCCCAAGAGCCATCGTCCTCGATCAAATACTGATGCAGCTCCTCCATGGCCACTTCCTCCTCTTTGTAGATCTTGCCATCAAGCAACTTAACTAGGCACTCTAATTCAGTCTTTATCTGTAAGAGAAATAGGCCATTGATTTATATTTTAGTACAAAACGCATTTCCTAATACGACGTATCATTTAAATCGCCAGTATTTAAAGCTTCAAAATGGATTATTCTATAAAAAGAAAGTTTTTATTTGTCGATTTCCAAAGCGCATGAATTTGCTGAATAAAATACATATATTTATTTGAATATTGATTTTTGTTTTGGAGGAACTAGGTACATAGGTGGTTATCTTACATTAAGTTAAGCTTTTAAGTTAGCGCTTGGCATACATTGATCTGATATTGAAATTCAAGAAATACAGCAGTTTTTAGATAACAGATTAAATTAGTTCCGTCTCGGACTTAACAGAGCCTGTAAACTATTTCTTGATTCTAGTTCTTATACTTTGCGCTCATACGAACATACAGAACTCTTTATACATATATTTAGAATTATTATATTATAAATTATACGCCTTGTGGGGTCTGCCGGGCCCTCTAATTGAATTTAAACGATTTAATAATCAGCCTATGTGGTACATAGGTATTGCAACTTCGGTAATACCTGTGCTAAGGCCTTCAACCTTGAAAGAAAAAAGCTATACAAACATACATACTAAGTAGTATGTACACGACTGAGGGTGTTTCATATAATAAACAAGCATTCTAAATAATTGCAGTAATAATATGAATGCAACTGTTTTGAACATCAGAATCACTCACTAATAATAAAAGTGAGCAATAAACTTTTCAATAGCAACTTGTAGATTTATTTTCCACCTTTAAGGCATTTCCTCGCGCATGCCGGACTGCGTAACAAATCTTTTAACAGCGAGTCAGAAACTACCTTTATAAGTGGAGTAAAAGTATTCAGAGGAATCTGTCAAGTAATCTAATTTTTAAAATTTAATTTCATATTGATATTTATTCTAGTGTTTATCTTGTTTATTATTAATTTGAAGTATTGTTCTCTGCAATTATTCTGTATTACATATTAAATGTGTCCCTTTAGATCGCATAGGATTCGAACTGGAATAGATGGCCTTGTTATTTTGTAAGCTTTTTATCTTCTTACTGTTTGTGCTACAAATGAAAAGACTATACAGCTTCAGTTAAAGTTCAACATTTGCGAAATACTTGTATCGATTTTATAATCTATTCATTAAGGAAGTTGAAAGGAAGGTGAAACTTACATCGATTTCCTTGCAAACCAATGCTGGTTCGCGTGGTATCTCTTTCTCCTCCGTTGACTTGGAACGTTCTTTCCCATTTTGCTGTTGCTGTTGTTGGGCTGCGGGCTCTGACATCTTGGCTAAAAATAGTTGAGTGAGAAATTAAATTAAATAAATATCATCCTTAAATAAAAATGAATGTCGCAATCATAATTTCTTGTTGCCGCGTCACTCGAAATTCTTTTCCTAGTTTTCCCTTGCCCATGAAATGCAAAAATTTTCATTTCACTTTTGAAATGAAATTATCTTTTACGATCGGCCACCGAAAACGGATTCTCTTTGGAAAATATGGCTGACGTTTACACGCGCTGAAATGTTTACAATGTTTATTGGGCTGTTTATGATTCGGGCACGTCAAAAATTTGCGGAATTTGTTGCTTTTGTTATAAACAAAGAGCTGGAAAGTCGGAATGCTTTCCGTCAATTACCAGCCGGCGACAATGGGACACAAAACTACGGTTAACACTATAGTACTGTTTGTCTGAGCGATGTTGTGTGTTGCGGCGGTACAAGTGAGAGAAACTCAAAATAGATGCGTTATTTTTAGGCGTTTTTACTTTATGTAGACAAAAAGAAACAAGGTAAAAAGCTTAACATGCCAACTGCAATTGGATATATATATACATGTGTGTGCGGAAAATATGAGCCGTCGCGGCACGAACAATTAAAATGCTGTCATACATAACATATTTGCCAATTGAAGAGAGATGATTGAATTGCCTGGCATTCTAAGCCGATGGTTTTTAAATTTATGCATTCTTTAATTACTCACATGCTATTTTAGTACAACTGGCACAGAAATTCTTTAACTTTCGACACAAATTCTTGTTGCGTTGAACAAGTACTATATCGTATGTATAAACAAAGGCACTAAATTCTTGATGCGGCTTTTCCGATCCGCCTATTATTCTTATTACAAATTATCCAAATTGTTTATTTATTGCCAAACTTTTCAATTGTCTATTTAGGTTGTGCTGGTTGCCAATATTTCTTCTCTAAAATCTTATACGAACTGCGGCCAGAGAAGCACGCGAACCGATCCCACTGAAAACCGTTTCGAAATTGCCGCCGTTAGTGCCGAAAATTCCTGTGGAAGCGTGTAGAAAAGTTTCCGAAAATTCACACACATGTACCTCCGTGTACGAGCAATGTGTCTAGAACGTGAATATGTGTATCTGTGAGAATGTTTTTTCTTTATAAATAGATGCGCGTCTTGCGACGCTCATGAGAAAGTGTCGCGGTGAGGCGGCGCTAAATGATGCAGTTGTCTACACTGGTAAAAATTGTCCCTTATTAGTCATAGCTCGTTCAACACCTATCTAAATGCCTGAAAAAAACGGTCAAGCTTAAAGCCCAGAACGCGCCGCAAAGGCCACAGCAAAAATCAGCGCTGTCGGGGGGTAAGGTCGTGGAAAACACAAAAAGCTATTAAGACGAAACCAAAGTACATTCACAGCACAGCAGGCAGTCCTGTCACATCTTGAAAGCAACAAGTACGCGCACACACAGCCTTGCGGTGCACTCTAGAAGCAGAAGATTGTGTAGCCGACATGTTAACCAAGGCCTTCAGTCGACTCTGCTTTCAATTGAGTTTCAAACGCTGACGCGTAACGGTCGCTAGGCTGCCAATCCCTATCCATTAGCATTGTATAATCGTGTGCTCAAATTTTCAAAGATCAGTTTGAATCCGCCATGAAAACTTGCATGAAAATATTCTGTTCGCTGGCCGTGCTGGCGATCTGTGTGCTGCGAGCAACACACGCGTCCCTAGAAACTGAAAACAGTGAAGTGAATAATTTGTCCAATGTAAGTTGATATGCAGGCCATATGGTGAAAAGTAATACAGGCTCGAGCATTTCGTGGAAAGTGTCTGGTAAAATAGAGCTGCCACGATTTTTGTTCCACTCCTTTACTCTTTTTGGAGAAATAATGTATTGACTTTTTCATTTACTGTGGGTGGAGATTCGTTAGATTTTAAACTATGCAACTAACCTATTAACAAAATACTATGTGTAGAAATAAAAAATAATTTCTTGGAAATAATTCAAATATTCAGTATGAATTGTCAACTCAATGAAAACGATGATATTTCTAAAGTATAGTTCAGTATATTTGTTAAAATCAAGCTTCTTAAAAACATGGCAATTATTAATTATATAAATTCTAATTATTTATTTAGAAAGTTATCCAAGCGTTACAAGTACCAGATTAGTCATTACATATTTATTTCAATTTAATTAATTTAAAAAACAAACAACGATTTTTAAAAAACATCATTTTTGCCATCTTCTACATTTACTATGAATTTTACTTATAAAGAGTTTAAAAAGCTTATTCAATCATTTACTCGCCAAAAAAATTTATTCGAGCAATGCTTTAGGCAAAGCTGAAAATCGAAATTTCCTCGAAAGAAATGATTCTTTAAGACGACATACATATTGGATGCATAGTGAAAAGATGTTCGCTTCTGAGTTGGTTGTCAATTGAGTGATTTAATACTTAACTATAAACTGGGAAGGGCCACCTATCCAATTACTTTGTTTGGAGAAAATAATACTATTGGCGAATTGGACCAAAAACGATTAATACATCATACTTGTATTTTATTTGAATTTGTACACCGTTTACTAAAAAGGCGATATTGTTTTTGGTGTGTAAGTTTGTTAGACCCACATTATCGGACATACTGATATGATATTATTATTAGTCCAATAATAATAATATGTCGAAAACGACTATATCAGATCACCTACCATACAGATTGGCCATGGTTTTTTTTACAAACATATTTAATTTGGTTTCTTCTAAAGAGAATTACTATAGTATGGAAACGTTACAGTATACGAGTATATGGGATAGCAGATGAAGTTAGCTTTTCAACTCCTTTTATTTCTGCTCTTTTTCTATTTTGCAGCACAAACTAAGCGGAGTTATACAGTGGAAATATGAGAAGCGTCCTTTTTGCAATGCCTTCACCGGTATGTGTAGACTCAAATAAAAGTCTTTCTATATAGTTTTAAAATTTGGAATTTGGAAAATTTTCAAGGTTGCGGACGCAAACGAACATCATACCCCTCCTATCCGCCCTTTTCGCTCATCAAGCGCAACGAACTCGAGGAAAAGCCGTATAATAATGAATACTTGTCAGAAGGTCTGAGTGATCTGATCGATATAAATGCCGAACCAGCTGTCGAGAATGTGCAAAAGCAAATCATGTCTCAGGCCAAAATATTTGAAGCCATCAAAGAGGCCAGCAAGGAGATCTTCAGGCAGAAGAATAAACAGAAAATGCTGCAAAATGCTGCGCAGCAACGAAATTTGGAGGAGCGCGAAAATATATAAACGGGCTGAAAACATATACCGATTGTTCATGTAAATACGTATCTATCTAGCTAACTATCTATTGTATATGGACTCATAATACTGATGTGAGGAATACTACAACATTTGCGAGCATTCAATAAAAAGTGTAAATCCAATTCATTTCGACTAAATACAATCGTTAATGGGTCACAATTCTTATTTATTAGTCTCCTAGGTATTATTTTTAACATTACAGGTTCTTCACAAATTTTTATCAGCTCTCAATCAGCATAAGCCCTGTTCTTATTTATGATTTAAATATTAGGCGACTCAGATAAGGTGCCGTAATGGCATACTATCTAAATGTGTGGTTATCTTATCTCTAGCTATGTATGTACGTATGTATGTTTAAACGCGCTTTGTTTAGTTGTTTCACAATTTCTCGGCGTTTTTCAATCACGTCTAGTTTCGCTTGGACATATGCACCTTGACGCCACCCTTTGGCAGCAGTGCAATGGAATAATTTTCGAATTGAAGTTCGCGCCGACTCATCACCTCGATATTGTAGTTTTGCAGAACCTTAACAATGGCCAGCTTCGCATTTGTGCGGCCCATGCGCTGAGCAATGCAGATTCTGGGACCCGCGCCGAAAGGCATAAACGCCTGAGGGTTGTAATTTAGTGTCTCTTCTGAAAAGCGTAGAGGATCATATTTTTCCGGCTCGGGAAAATATTCTGCGTCGCGATGAATGCCAAATAGTGAAATGGCCACAGGTGTCCCCTTTTTTATGACATGCTTGCTTTCAGGGATAACATAGTCTTGGGTACATTCGCGATTTAGTAGCGGTAGGCCGGGATATTTTCGCAGCGTTTCCTGTATGCATAAATCGAGAAACTGCATTTTCTGTAGGGAATCGTAGGTGATTTTGCCATCGTTCTGTTTGAGTGTTTCGTCAACTTCCTTTTGGAGACGGCTTAAGTGCTCGGGATATTGGGCCAGCTCGAACAGGGTGAAGGCAGCCGTGGAACCGGTTGTCTCTTGGCCAGCCACATAGAATATGAAAAGCTGGGCGGTTATGGCTTCCAAGGATATACTCTTGATTTTACCTGAACGGAAAAATAAATATGATCGAGCTGTTGAGTTTAAAAAGTTGAGGGAACTCACAGTCATCGCCTTTCTCGAAATTCCAATTGTTGTCATTCTCGTCAATCGAGCCTGTGTTTCGGAGCTGCATAAGCAACTGCAACATGTCCTTGCGAACAATGTTGTGCTTTTCACGATACTCAATAGTCTCCTTGACAATTTGCATTAGGGCGTTTGCTATCGGATTTTTAAAGCCTAGCCGGAATAAAATCTGGGCCACACTATAAAATATAAAAGGGTTTTTTTGAAAGAACCATTTGAGCAGACTTATTCAGATTTCTTACGAGGGAACCAAGAATATAAATATGCTAAACACTGCGCCGATTCTCGTGTTGCGACGAAATATGTGCAGCAGCTTTTTGAACTTGTTATCCGGCTGCTCAAAGCTATTGATGTCCAGACCAAAAATGGTCGATGCAATGATATCAATGGCATAGGTTTGCATCAGTTCCTTCAGGTCCACTTCCAGCGATCCTTCATCCGGCAGCAGAGCCTGTAAATGCCCAACCATCTTGTTACTAATATCTTCGGTTGTGCTGAACATGCCCTTCAGTTTGCCGGACGTGAAGCATGGCGACAATTTGAGACGCATTGAACGCCAGCTGTGGCCACGTAGTGCGAATATCGTGCCCGAAAATGGATCTCTCTCCTCATCCACATAGACCCCGCGATCGTGAAAGCTTGCAAAGTCCTGGGCCAACACGCGCCCAGCCAATTCAGGATCGCGCACTAAAACTGCAGGCCGGAAGAGCATATACACGCCCAGGAATTTCTCCTTACTCCGCCGATAAACATCGTAAACGGCCATGCCCATGGACTTTTCGCGCCTGCAAACGCTGCCCAGACAGCCAAATGGAATTTTGGAGTTCTTATCATAGGGGAATCCTATATGTTGCCAATAACTATAGTGGTGTTTGACATACTGCCAGGCAACCGCTACAAGCGAGGCAAGTATAAAAACTAGTGATAACATAATAGCCACTGGAATGGGTCTATGCGCGAGAACGATCAAAACGCGTCTATTGATATGACAATTGTCGCACTGGCTTTTTACTAATTTAATTTCATGAATGTGGAGCTCTCTTTCGCGAGGCGGTAGCGACGCGTGGCTTTGTAATCGCCGATGTGTCGATAAAGCAGTTCCACATAGGCATTATTGAAAAACATCTCGATTGTAAGAGATTGTGGAGACGAAAATTGCTCGAAAATTTGCTTTAAAATTCCTTTTAATGTTTTTAACTTCATTTAGTACAAAACACCAACCAGGGTGTCATATAAAACGGTTTTACGTTTAGGATCACAAAGTATAGAAGGTCAGCTTATTCACAGTTGTGTTTATGCATATAAATTATTCAAAAATTTGAATTATAGTTATTATAATTATAAATACTACGCCTTTGCATCAATAATCTCAAATTGTAGGTCGTACTGCTGATCGAAGCCTATCAAGCAGTCCGACATTAGATACAATGTTAGCAGCAGGCGACCTCGACGAGGTGTGGCTTGAAAAGAAATTCGATTGGAGGAGCGTGTGCTGCGCAAACTGACGCGTTTCATGGCTAGCAGCTCATCGTTGGCTTGCGATCCAAGTGTTAGGAACCAAGCCTCGTTTTTAGGCTTCGGATATTTGGGGCAATATATGGGATAATGTCCAATTGGTCGACGTGCGGTATTTAAGCGCTGCAGATCAATATTGAGCACGTAGTCTTCATTGGCATGCAATTGTGTCCACGTATCGGAACCAGGAGTAAGTGGCAAGCTGCGTTTTGCGTATTCATCCTCCAAAAAACGACCCTCCACTGAAAATTGCACAGCAATTTCGGGCAGATCTTGAAGAACCTAGAACAAAAAGTATTCTTAAACCATGGACACAATATCTGAATGAGTTTTTAGCGTACTCGGTAAATATGCTCGATTTCATGCTCTTCAAATGCATCCCGTAGCGGTTGCGCAAGCACTTCGTAGTCTTTACGGCAAATATCCTTCAGAACCGGTAGCGTCAAATAGTCCTGATCGTGTTGGACTTTAAAGAACGCGTCGACATTTGCCTCGCTGACGTTGGGTAGTGTAAGGAACTCGCATTCGTCGAACCAGCGCGCCTGTATAATGCATTGCATCAGATGTTGCACCACCAGCGTCGTGGAGAGCCAACCCCGCTCAGCAGTGTAATCCACCATGGCTTGCATAACGCGCGTGGCATTGTCCAAAGCAGATTTGGTATCGGTAAGGTAATCGGAGTTGGGAAGAGATTGTCGCGCAAAGTGTGCCTGTAGCAGCAGGAATGTCTTTGTATACGGGGAGTCCCAGCTAGCCGAGGGCGGTCGATAACGACTCTTTTCCGCCATTTGCCTGCGGAGTAGAATCATTTTGTCAACTGATTACCGTGATTTAAGGTCCAAACTTACTCATTGTATTTGTCCTCGTTGTGGCGCACAGGCTGTTGATCGAATTCATACGAATCGGTAATGGCTAACAGCACATCCTTTGTGCCCATTCCCCCCTGCAAGTCTTCGAGAAAATGCTGCATTGTACGGTAGGATAGGTAGTAGAATGAAGAGATACGCCCCAGGAAAGTGGGAACCAGAAAACCCTCACGTTCCACCACGCAAGCTGCCCCCATCAGTTCGTAAACTACGCGCTCCACCAGACCTGACATGAACTTATTCACATCCTCAGGCTCAATGCCATCCAGCTGATAATATGTGGGATTGCGCAGCAGACGGCGAAAGAAATACGTCCAAGTAAGATAGTCCAGGGCCGCCTGTTTAGTTTGGACTGTGCCGGCGACAATTTCGGCATTTATATGTTCTGGCAGAACGCCCAGTAAACTGGATTCCACTGGGAATGGATCGTACAGGAACTTTTTATAGAAATTCTTCTTCACATCGTGCACCAGAACGACGGCCACGCCTTCATTGTCGAACTGTGGGCGACCGGCGCGTCCCATCATCTGCAGCACATCTGTGATGGGCATGTCCACATACTTCTTCACCTTGCCGTCAAAATACTCTGTGCCCTTGATGACGACCAAATGTGCTGGAAGATTAACACCCCAGGCTAAGGTGGCTGTGGCCACGAGAACTTGAATTTTACGATTGAGGAACAGCTCCTCAACACATTTGCGATCCGGTTCCTGCAGACCAGCATGATGCAGACCAATCCCGAATGCGAGACAAAACTTAAGGTTCTGATCGCGTATGTTCTGTAATATAAGTTCCATTTCATTCTCGGCTATGTGCAGGAATTGCTTTGGGTTTTCATCGCCAGCTACATAGGTGATGATATCGAGGGCTGTGAGACGTGTCTGACGACGCGAGGAGACAAACACAATGGTAGGCTCACATGGCGAGTAGGTGCGTATCGCCTGAAATGTTGGACGATTCATTGTAGCCATGCGCGGACAATAATGCTTGCCGGGAAAGCCATTGATGTGCACCTGCAGCGGCACGGGTCGCACGGAAGGCTTGAAGTTGTACAGTCCCATTTTGGTGATGCCCAGCCAATTGGCCAGATCTTGCGCATTCGCCAGGGCCGTCGACAAACCAACAATTCGAATAGATCGACCAGTGTGCGAGGTAATGAAGTTTGTCCGGGACACAATAACTTCAATAACAGGTCCACGATCCTCACCAAGCAGATGGATTTCGTCGATGACTATTAAAGATACATCCTGCACATACTCGCGCGTTTGCCAAGATCGACTGATGCCGTCCCATTTCTCTGGCGTGGTTACAATCACCTGCGACTGCCGTATGGCCTGAATATCCGGCGTCACATCACCTGTGAGCTCCACTACTTTTACGCCCAGCGATGAGTTCTCAAATCGTTGTTTCCAATCACCAATGCGTTCCTTGACTAGCGCTTTTAACGGTGCAATGTACACTATTTTAGACTTAGGGTTCAGATTCAACATCCGAAAGATCGCAATTTCAGCGACAATCGTTTTGCCGGAGCCTGTGGGTGCACCGAGCAGCACATTGTTGTCCGTATGATAAAGACAGTGAAAGATTTGTGTCTGGATTGGATTGAAGTGCGTAAATTTGTAGAGCGACTCGTACAGTGCATTATTCAGGCAACTGACGGGCAAAGGACGCAAGGGCAGCAATTCCGTCAGCGGCGGATGATGTTCCGGCAGCACCAGATGTTGAAATGAAAGCGGCACACATGTTGGGCTTCCCAGCCAGGAATCGCTGCTAACGCGTATGTAATATTGTGGCGGCAGCGGCTCCTTCAGCGGAATGGTCATCACCAGGTGCTGCGATTGCCCGCTTAAGACTACCTTTCGTGTGACTTGAAACAGCTCCGAGTGGTAAATGTAATTAGACTCCGGATCCTCAATCCACAGCCAGAAACTTTGACTGGTCTTGCCGTGCACACGATCGTTCCAATTGAAGTTGGCCCAAATTTCCACCTTAATGCGCAGCACGGTGCGAGTGATGGGCTGCAGGTTGGCCTCCACATCAAGCATTGGCAGCTCGCGCGCCGATCGTATCACTTGCTCGGCGTAGCGATCGCTCCGTAGCCATTCCTTCAACTCGCGCTGCTCCATTTCGCGCAATCGATAAACGCTTAGACCACGCCGTTCCAGCTTGTCTATGGTCTCGGCGTTGATAGTTGGAAATTGCCGCATGTGGCTGTCACAATCCCATTGCTTGCGCTGAAACATTATGCACATCTGTAGCATTCGGCCTGCCAGAATGGCGTTGTTGTTACGCAGAACAATTGAGAAGAGGGCGCATGCAATACGACCAACGTTCTGTGTGATGTAGGACATGTCTGAGGAGAGCGAGAAGGATTTGACATACCCATTCGAAAGATATGTCTGTATGAGTATGTTAACCTGCAAAGAAATCAAAATAAGGATGGTGGTTAATCTGAGAGAGCCTTCATTACATATTTTTTGAGAATGGCTTACCTTGCCGCAAACATTCTCACTGCCACCGAATGCCTTTAGTTTGCAGTAGCTACGGCGCAGATCATCCAACTCCTCCAGTTCATCGTCCCGTACTTTAAGCTGTTGGAATTCCTGAGCTTGCGAAATCATGGCCAGGATCTCAGCCTCGTTCATGAACGGCTTCATTAGCTCATTGAAAATCTCAACGGTATCATATTTGATGTAGAAATGCGAGGCAGTACGACCCAAATCTGTGATGTTCATGTCCATTGTGCGTTGATTAAACCTCATCATGCGCGCCTTGTCCAAACTCATCGATGCGGACATGATGAGGGACCGTCGTCGCGCTTCCAACATCGGATCCTTCTGCAGCTCTGCATACTCAATTCCATAGACAAGCGGGTTCTTACGCATGCGCACGAACAGATATGTATAGCTTAGCCACTCAATGGCCTCCTCCACATTTGAAATAGTACCCAGTCCAATTTCGGCATTTAAATTATCGGCCAGACACTGAACAAAATTCGATTCAATCGGGAACTGATTGGTGAGCAGTGAGAGGTAATGATTCAGTTTATCATAGGTGGTTATAATGGTTCCCACACCACTCTTGTCGAACTGGGGCCTGCCGGCGCGCCCGAAGATCTGTAGTACATCCAGGATGCCAAGATCCACAAAAGTGCCGTGCTTTGAATCGTAAATGTCTGTGCCGCGTATTATGACTGCATGGGCGGGCAGGTTCACGCCCCAGGCCAGTGTGGCAGTGCACACCAGGACTGTGATGTGCCCTTCGACAAAGTATTTCTCAACCATTTGACGATCGGCACGCAGCATACCTGCGTGATGCATGGCCAAGCCGCAAGAGAAAAGATCCACAAGCTGTTTATTCCGGCTCTTTTGTATGGAGCGGCAGGCAAGACCAAAAGCATTCGAATCGGAGGGCAGGAAGAGCGCGCTTGTGTTGTTCTGCTGTGATAGCTCCCGCAACATGTTCGCCGTGCGCACAGTGGCGTTTCGGGCATGCACAAAGACCATCACTTGGTGACCCTGTTGTACCATCTCAACACACTTTTGGTAGCAGCACTGATCCATATCTGTGATCTGTTGCAACGGTTTCACCGACTTAATGCCAATGAAGTTAGTATCAAGCGGTACGGGTCTGAAGCGTGAGTCGAAGTAGAATAGCCCCTTCATGGGATTAACACGTAAAAACTGCGCTACATCTATGTAATTGGGCAATGTGGCGGACAGACCTACAATGCGTATCATAGATTGTGAGGACTCCACAAGACGTAGTGTGCGTGCGACCAAAGCTTCAACCACTGGCCCACGTTCCCCATGAAGCAAATGCACTTCGTCGATGATGAGCAGCTTTACCAAATTGATTAAAGCTACATCTCCGCTGCCTGCAACACGCGATATTTATAGAAAGATTGTCAATAAAAACGACAGATTTTTTACTCACCTTTTCTGGTAACCACATCCCATTTTTCTGGTGTGGTTACTAATATTTGAGTTGCTGTCATCTCTGCCTTCGTCAGCTGCATGTCACCCGTCAGTTCACGAACGACAATGTTCAGCGATTTAAGACGTTTTGAAAAATTGTCCACCATTTCCGCAGCGAGGGCCTTCATGGGCGCTATATATACTATTTTGAATTCATCACGATTGATAACGCCGTTCTCTAGATGCGAGCGTATGGCATGCACCACTGCTAGCATTGCCACATTCGTTTTACCGGCACCTGTTGGCGCACAGACCAGCATATTCTCATTGCTGTGGTAGGCAACAGGATAAACAACAGACTGTATTCGATTAAGTTCCTTACAGTTTGCGAAAGCCAAACGACCCACGTCGTCCAGTTCGGATATTTGAACACGCTTATGACCTACGGCTAGTGGAGGAGGGTCGTTGGCCGGTATTTTCACCTCTTCCCACTGTTTGTTGTCCACGCGATGTGAATTTTCTGGTAGCGTAATGCGACTGCCACCAATGAAGCCGGCATGCTGCTTAGCATTCATTTGGCTATCAAAGACATACGGATAATGTACGGTGTAGTGGACATTTTGTCTTTGTTGCTGATACTCCGATTTGATAGATTTGGTGGTGTGAAGTAACGGTTCTCGCTGTGCCGCCTCGAGCAAGTTCCGCTGATGTTGCAATCGTAGCTTTGCCGCTGACACCGCCACCGCACATCCGTCATCTTGTTCATCGTCTTTAATGCTTTTCATAACTCGCTGCAGTTTTTTCTCTTCGCGTCTTTGCAACTTGCCAAGCTGTTTCTCTTGTTCTGATTGCACCACCACAGCGCTGGCAACAGTAGGTCGCTTCTCATTGGCAGCACCAGCTTCTGACCTCGCATTGAGACGCTTTTGTTTAACTTCCTTAACTCGACGCGTACGGGTCACACAATTTTCCAGTTGCTTGACCATATTTCTACGCTCTTGCAGCAGCTGACCGACCAATTCAAAGTGCTCAAAGCCGAGCAGCTCCATGAGCTCATTCTGCAGATCATCGCTGCTGCGCTTAGAGCTGAGCATGTCGCCGACGCGATTAAGTAAATGCTCATCGCCCACTTTTTCAGCTATTCCTAGTAGTGCGTTTAGCTCAGCACTAAGTTTGGTGTCCGCGAGTGGAGCTATCGCGTTCTGCTGCTCTTTGTACTTCATGGAGAATTTTTTGACAGTGCGATTCTTTAGCAAAACATCCGGAGAAAGATTGGTTAGTAGACCAGTATCCATCCATTCGGCATGACGGCAGATCACGTGCACATCTTCGCCCCATAACGGGCGTTGAGTTGCTTCATTCTCTTTGCTTTGTGTTTGCTGCCAACGTTTGAGCGCTGCGCATTCAAAATCCTCTAGAGTGTCCCTCAAGGACAGCACACATTCGTGTATTTCGGTGCGCTTCTTATCGAACACATTGCCAAAAACGCTCTGAAGCCGGTTTGTGGTGGACACCAGCATGACCCGCTGATCGAGCAGCAGCCAAAACAAATAGAGAGATGCGTGTTCAACCACCTGTGGGTGCTCCTCGTAGCCCATGCATTCATGCACGAGATTGCGCAGTTTTTGTAGCTGCACCTTAGCTGCCGGTTGCTTGTCTCGCGGAAACTGCGCCAGAAGCTGTGAAATGCTTTGTTCGCTTTTCGTATGCGCCTTTTTCGTGCTGTGGGTGGCAGGGGGATGCTTATTATCGGCATATAGATAAAAATTGCACCGCAGTGGTGAAATACAACTTACTCATACGTTTCTGCTGTCGTGGAAATTCGGCAATGCTCATTGCGTAGTCTACAGATGCGTTGGCTTCTTAATTCAAGGTCAGTATTTGCGCGTAGCGATGCACTCAGGCGTGGTAGATCCCACATCGTTGATTCTAATTGTTTTATCTTAAAATGTAACTAATATTCTCTATTCAAATGTAGTGAATGCGTTTTGCACTGGATGAGCAGCAACAGCTGTTCATTTGGGGCCATTACACGAGTGCGTGGTGCCACTTAGTTTAAAAATGGTATGTGCAGGCTGCCACCTATTTGGTAGATAAACGGACTGCTAATCTATGCAATTTTCTTAACGTTAATTTATTCAGTTATTATTTTACTATAAATAACTAACCGCTCTTAAACACAGATTACAATATAAGAATGCTTTTTTTATTTATTTCTAATAAAGTTGGGCTGATTTGAGATTTGTCTAATAACAAGTTTAAAAATATATTATATTTTTTTTAAGTAAGAACAAACTACAATATAATATTTTCACAGATTCCATTCGTTGTTGACCGCTGAACACATGGTCATTTTGCATCTTCATTTCAATTAATTTATTTATGCACAGCTTGTCACAGCAAAGCTGTTCAAAACTTTTATAACCTGTTGACGAACTGTTTTGATTGCAAGACATGAAAAGTCTTCATGTGATACGCCTTCCACGGCTGGACCACAGCGCACCCCTTAAGTATGCTACACAAAATTGTTGCGCAAGCTGCAATTGTGCGTGTGTAAGAGATAATTTATTATGCAATGCATGTCCACATACTCGAATGAATCTCTTTGGTCGTTGGCTCAGAGTATGCTTCAGTGACTTCTTTGAATTTTGCAGTTTTGGTCAATGGTTGTGTAGGTGTGCGTGAGCATCTTGGGCATATATAAGCGGCGGACCACAGAGCCTTCTTCTTTTAGTTGATGCTGCAGGACGACTCTGTCTAAATCACGGCAGCTCCTATGAGTTTCGCAAATTTCTGAATACCTTAATCCACCGAACCGGGCCATTGAAATGCATTCGCAAATGCATTTTCATATTATTGTACTATGTAAGAAATACTTTCCGTTTCTTTCGTTGATTTATTAGTTTATTTCTGTTATTTTGCAGGCCTGTGCGTCATGTTTTTCCTTAACTCAAATGCCATACCATGTGATTCCTGTGGCAAGGAGTGCGCTAGTGCTTGCGGTACCAAGCACTTTCGGTAAGTTGCGTCTTCATTCGTAAAGTTTTCCGTTTTCAATTAATTTTCATTTCAACCAGCACCTGTTGCTTCAACTATCTTCGGAAGCGTACCGATCCTGATGCTGCGCTTCAATTAAGCTCCAATCGGCGACTTATTGACTTCATATTGTTGCAGGGCCGTGCGCTCTTTACGCAAAACGAGTTAAGAAGCGCCGAGGAGAGGCATCGCAATGGCACCATCATAGACGTCGGCTTAGAAACGTACTACGGTTAAAAGAACTCACCAAACACATACCCCGTACACACACATACATGAGATCCACGACATGCAATTGATCCTCCCAAATAACGAAAATGTTTGAAATGTTAATTTGTTGTTGTTTTTATAAATCAAAAATAAATGCAAGAATTTCCTTGGGGCAACATGCTTGATAAAGCAGAACATATTCATCCTTCGCGAAGTCTTTGTACTGTTTTACCCAATAAATGTAAATGTAATAAAAAAAAATGTAGGAGGAATTGATTTTCAAAATCGTATTGATGAATTAGTTTCATATAGAAGGCAGACTTTGTGAAATAGTTATATTTTATTTCTAGTTGAAAAAGAAAAACACATTTGTTGTTTGATTTTATATCAATTGCAGTTTTTCTTCTTGTCTTACAATTTTTTTAAGCTGTTTTTTTTTTTTTTTTTGATTTTTCTTTGTATGCAAAAAGTTTTTGGCCAAGTGCCACGCAGTTGACGTTGGCGCCAGACGTCACTAATACGAAGCATTGTAATTAGCTTAGAAAAAGAAACTCATATATATGTAGATTTGGATATGTCTGTAAAGCTCTCAGTTCCTTTAAAGTCGTCGTTTTTTTTTTGTTTTTTTTTGTTGCTGTTTTGTTGTCTGCTGCAGTCGCTGTGTATAAGATAATATTTAGGCAGCTGATTCGCTGATTTCTGTGGTGGCCATGGTTCTGGAGTCTGTGACAGGTTCCTCCTTGCCGCAGGCCAGACATGGCATCTTTTCCTTGAGCACCAACTTGTATCTGGGATGGCTCAGGCCATACACAATGGGATTACACACCGCATTCGCTTTAGCGAACACCGAACCGCAAATGGTGCTCAATGGCGACAAGTGCATGGACTCGAATATGCCCGAATAGTTAATAATGGTATAGGGTGTCCAGGCGAAGAACCACAGTGCAATGGTGGTTAGCGCCACCTTGGCCAACTTGATTTCTATGGCCTTGCTCTTGTCCGCCTCGCTGTTGCGCAACGATGCCACATTCATCTTCTTGGCCTGCTCTCGCATGGCTTTCTCATGAGCTGCGACCGCCTGTGTGGCAGGGAAGGAGAGGAGTGTACAAAGTGTAGATCTTGACTAATCAGCTCACCTTCATGATGTGGTAGTAGGAGAAAATTATGGTCAGCAGCGGCGTAAAGTACACCCACATCGAGTAGACGATGATATACGAACGGTTCCACCAGTCCTTGGCAAAGTAGTCTGTGCCGCAAGCGGTCATGTTGCCCTCCGGTACATAACGATTCCAACCAAAGAGCGGCAGTAGCGCCCAAATGCCGCAGATGAGCCACACGATGAGCAGGCGTACCACAGCCGAAGTTACTGTTAGCGGCTTGCGCGCCATACCCTTAACAATGACGCAGTACCGATCGTAGGCAATCAGCGTCATTGACCAAATGGAGACACAGCCAAAGAGCGAACCGAACAAACCGTACAGCTCGCACATGAATGGGCCCATGATCCAGGTGCCATAGAAGCCATTGAGCACAACCGGCGGAAACATCGTAAACATCATGCAGAAGTCAGAGAAGGCCTGAAGTTTTAATGAAATTATTGAATAGGAGTATTCGTTATGTTCCTAGCTTCGAACGGTGTTCTGAACCTTAGTCACTTATTATAACAAAAACCAAATTTTAACGCCTGAGGATACCAGAGCTGTCATTTTCAAAATTGAGTTGAAATGTGTCGAAATCTTTCGAGAACGATTTACTTACTTGAAAATTATAATAAGAATTAGTTTTTATAATTAAAAAATAAGTATAAACGAGAAAAGACAATCAAATTCGAAGAGAATAATTTTAAATTATCTTTCTTACAATATTCCAATAAGTTAAAGACTTTTTTTAAAAAAATATTCATAAAAACAATAAAGCTATTTATAAATAAATCGAAATGTACTAAAAATTTAGGAACCATAGTTTATTTTATCTGAAAACGTTTTTTTGTTTACTTCCACAAACGTGAATGCTAACATTTTTCAGAATCTGAAATGCTTTAAATTCTATTCGAATTTGCAGTTGCTTTAGATCGTATAAGTTATATTGAGAAAGATCTTAAATTAATGTCTTGTTCCATTTGTCTTACCAAAGTACACTTTTTTAAGTCTGACATTAAATGCATTCAAAACCCTTCATAACTGTTTGAAAGAGATCGTAATCCTAGGTATGCCAATGGAATAGTAAAAATATGATGAAAGCTTCTTACCAGATTCACAACAAACATGTTGGATGGCGTGCGCAATGCCTTCGATGAGGTAAAGATGTACATAACGATGAAGTTGCCGGACAACGACATTATACCAAGCACTGTGATTACGAAACCAATGATGCCGAACCACATGGGTTCCATGGGGGGCCATTGGTACCAGTATGGATCGATCATGTGCATTATCTCTGGGGGCACACTCTCCGCCAGACTGATGTTCTGACCACTGCGCATATGCGCATACATCGGCGCTTGTAAACTGGCCATGTCTGTGTTTACGGCTGGACAAATGGGAGCGGAACGTGGCGTTGGGATCACTGGACTCAATTGGTTTTGGTTCTATGGCTATCTGTTGCTGCAGTTGCTGTGTTTGTTGGACCCTATGTGCTCCTGCCCATAGTAGGTTTGTTGCAATCTCCTGTTCGGCGTTACTTCGAAGGTCGCGGTTCGGTTTCTTGGTCGCACGTCTTCAGGCGAATGCCTTGCGCTATACCAACCCGGGCCTTTATATGTGCAGGCAGTAAGTGGCACTTACTAACTTGTCTTAGACTAATTGCCCTAATCCAATTAGTTGGCGCTTGCCCAATTCACCGTATTGTCTCTTTCTCAATTGCCACGATTTGTACGCGCGGATTAACGTCGTCGGAGCGTCGATTCAGCACAGACAAGGTCAAGTTTAAAGAAGCGGCAAGCCACCCGCCTCCATACCCCGTAATCTGAGCAGTAGGCGACGTCTGTTTACAATTAGATTAAGACAAACGCTTGGCTGCCACATTGGAGACCAGTGGTGCCAATTTTTTGAGTAAAATATCTCAATCAAAATATTATTGAGGCATTGACGTTAACATAATTAAGTAGGAGTGCATTTAGTCCTTCTCAAGCTTAGCCGCATTATTGAGCATTTAAATGATTGCTCGAGCTATTTTTAAATAATTCACTAATGAGTTTTTAGAGATTATTGTAATTTATGCGTTTTTTTCGATCCATACCACTATATGCATGAAAGAAAGCAATTCTAAATGTTTGGTAAGTTGGTTTGCTAGAAAATCATACCAATGGAATTATTTTGTTACGCTGCGAAGAGGCGAATTGTTTAATCGGATATAATTTACAAGAAGGTAAGCAAATTTGAGTAAAGTTGACGAAGTTTTCAAACTTAAATTCCAACATATTTGTACAAGTATTTATGTTTTTTAAATTTGTAGAGATTTGACTCTTTATAATTACATTTTTAAAACAAATTCAAAATAAAGTTCAAATCTTGTAAGCACAAGTTTGTTTAAGAAACTAACGACACTGGTCAATTTTTCGCGAAATATTCTTGCATGAGATATTTTATATATAGAAATCATTCGAGCTTTGAGATAATTAGTGCATTACAGTTAGAGGTGGTTCTAAGGCTAGGAATATACGAATATGCTGAAATTAATTGCCAAGCTCTTTCAATTAACTATTTTTTTTATTCTTTGGTCTCTCTTTTATCAATTAAATAATTTTGACCTGTGCATAAAGCGGCTCATTGAGCAATTAGGATGGTCTAAGTCCACCGCCAACTCAAACTCCTGTTGTTGTTCTCTTGTTAGTTAATTATATTAATTTGATTTATATTAAGATTATAGTTAAATATAAGCCAGCCTTTTCAACTGAAAAAGCAGATATACATATAGTATCAGAGAAAAGGTTAAGATGACAACACTAGTGATATTGTTTGACTTTCACTCAAGAGGTGGCATTTGCAGGTTTTTTGCTTTATTTAAAGACGCTAAGACTAGCTGCACATGGCAGGACGGATGTCGAAATGCGGAAGAAGCGCTCAAACGTGCCAATTATAGCCAAGCTTCTGCGCTCCTCTCATTATGGTAGACAGTTGTAACTCCAATGTGCCGTAAGATTCCATGGACAGACCTATCAATGGATATGTAATTAATAAATTAGTTGTGTGTCCTCGAAACAATTGATATTAATTATTACCTTTACACTTCATGGTGTCCAGCAGTACTTTGGCATCGCGGAGTTCGGGCTCTCGTCTCATCATCCAACTGGTCAAGTCGGCGATTATGTTAGGGCATTTGGGCTTCAAGATGGGCGCATTGAGCATGGGTTGCGAGCTCTGGTCACATTGACTACCAAAGAGGGGTAGGTGGACCCTGGCATAGCCAAGTAGGCGCTCTCGACCATGACCATTGCAACCAAACACGCTGACCAGCAGCTGCGGCCCTGTAAGTAAAACCTATTTACATAGTTCTGAGGCTTCTCTTCCTTTCTCCGAACTCACAGCCAAAAGGACTCGTGCTCTTGTATGTCGCCTCAATGGGCATGTTGAATATAATTTTGTCATTGAAGTTGCCGCCTTTGTTTGTGGCCATTTGTGTGAGTCCGTGCTGCGGACCCGAGCACAGCAACCAGTCTGGTCCGGCAACCAACTCGTAGCGACAAAAGACAAACTCCGTATCTGGTCCCAGCGGAAAGGTGGCAGACACTATCTGCCCCGCGATGCATAAACTAAAGTAGCTGGCCGTGATTTTTCCATCCATATCCTTAGGAAATTGGCCACCTGATTCCTCATTGGCTTTCTCCTGTTTTCGTTTCGCTGCCCGATTGCTTTTGTTGTAAGCACTGCTGCCATGGGAACGTATTGGCTCGGAGTCGCTCATTATTAACAACGGCAATTGTTAAAAAAAACACCAGGGGCGGATTTTTTGATTGATTGTTTGAAATTTCTCAGATCGTTGCGACTAGAGACTATATTAGTGTTGGATAGTGTCCAGAGTTCCTAGGAGTACAGGCTTTCGCGGCAATGTGACCAGAGCTTATGTGTTGAAGTAATACATACTATGTAGCATGTGGTATATTTGATTTTCTAATTTCTTGGTTAATAATCGATTTTTCCGATCAGCTACTCAGCAATGTGACCATACATACAGCTTTTGAAATACACCTAGCCCTCGCTTAACGCTAACTCTCGGTCTAACGCAATTACAAAATTGCTGCCTTTTCTCTTTTAACACGGTGAAAAACCCTGCTCTTACGCGATTGACAAAATCGATTTTTTTATTTTGTCGATTATTGCATGTGTATTTTTGTGTATAGTATGTATCACCACACATGAAATGTGTGTAGAAAAAGGGAAGTCCCACTTTCTACGGCATCAGAGTAAGAATGAGTGCATACTCGTATGTCCATACATAAATAGTTGCAAAGGTGAGCAAAACTTTATTTCTTCAGACGCGCCCATATGTAGTAAGATTAAAATTCTTCTTGAATGAAATAAAATGGTAATGAATTATACAAATTGAAGTTTCTACAATGGCAGCAAAAGAAAACAAACCATATAAGGAGTGCTGCTATAAAGCCACTAAACACTAAACGAAAATTACTGATTTTTTTGCCACGGAAGGGGAGCCACCATATAAAAAAAAGTTGATTACGAAAACTGTTCTGATTATAAAGGCCACCAAATAAATTTCCAATTTATTTTAATACATTTTGTTCTCTTTTTACTTTTGAAAACATTTGCCATTTGAATAAACCTTTTTATGTTTTTGAAACTAATCAATTTAAACATTAAACAAAAAAATATTTGTGTAGGCATTTTTCGAAGTCTAGGAACGTAACCACTCATTTTGTATGGAAATACATGGCATCGCGTTAAACGATTTCGCTTAACAAGACGTTTTCAAGGAACGTAACCCCCGTTTTAAGCGAGGACTAGGTGTATACAATTTGAAAACCCAACATACTAATAAGCTCGAAGGCTGCTTTATCAATTATTGAGGTGTAGCCGATATGGTTGAAATGAGAATTTGCTATAAGTTACTTGGTACTTGGAATGAGAATCGCAGTAGCGCGGCCAATTATTATAGCCTGTTCCCAAAAGGTGAAAGGCTATACTAGTTTTGTGCGCATGTATGTAATACACAGAAGGAGGCGCGGCAGACCCCACAAAGTATATATATTCTTGATCAGGATGAGAAGACGAGTCGATATAGCCATGTCCGTCTGTCCGTCTGTCTGTATGAGCGCAAGGATCTCAGTAAGTACAAGAGCTAGGATAACCAAAATTGGTATCAAGGTTCCTATAAGCCCTAGGCAGAACGAGTTTGTTTATTTTTTCTGATACACCCCCCCCACTCCCCCGCAAATCGTATTTTTTCTTATAACTTCCGTAATTCTCGGAATTTTAAAATCAATTTTGGTAGGTACATCCAGTTAGTACTAATGTGCCAAATTTCATCATGATAGGTCAATTCTGAAGAAAGTTATAGCCATAAGTAAAATCGCTGCTCATGCGCTGCCTGCAGCTCTGTCGGCAGCGCTGCCCGCAGCTGTTGTTGTTGCTGCTTTTGTTCAACTTTGTGCTGCATACATACACGCATATAAACATGCATAGGTACGTGATGTAAATGTATGCTGTTTAAACTGAACATAAACATGTATTCTAATTTAATTGAATTAATTATTTTAATTAATTAATTCATTCATTTTTTTAATAATTTAATTTTTTTTAATATTTTTTTTAATTTTTCCTTTTTGTGGAGAGTACAGGCTATTTTACTGTCGGGCTTGCTCGACTGTAGCGTTCTATCTTGTTTTTATTTAATTTATCAGAAGTTCCAAAATTTAATCCCTACTTTGCTATTAATTAGGTACTTGGTAAGAGAATCGCAGAGGAGGTCGGTCAATTATTTTAATTTAATTTAAAAAATTTAATTCTCGCTGTGCCATCACTGAGGAATTTGGTATGAAAACCGCATGGGGGGCGGCCAAATCACCACACAAGCGGAAATATAAAACTAATCAGTGAACAGGAGGCTCAACTGGTCTGTGTTTACAACAAAAAGTTCATAATATCAGAAAGAGACATTTAGCTAAAATTTTTATTGCAAGTTGACGATGCGGTTTTTCTCGTTCATTATACGATTGGCTGCTGAACACACCTTAATCTGTGAGCTACTTAATAATAATAAAGTTGTAGTTGCTTACTAGTTGGGTGCAATTTTAAGGTGTTGAAAAAGCAAATGTTCATGATTATAATGAATCAGTAATTATAAAGTATCGTCGAGAATATATATTATTCATAACTTTAATGTATAAAGCGTATAATTTGAATTCGTAGCTTTAATTTTTTATTATTTATTTATTTTTTGGCTAGCACGCGCCCCGTTCAGGGCAGTCGATAGTGTCTGGACATGTCGCGGCCACTACGTCGCCAATGTAATTTAATACTCACACATACATGGTCGGGTTGGCCATTGCCAGTTGTCTGCCCAGTTTTGCATATGGGGGTACGTGTACGGGTACGGGCACCATAAACAATGTAACGTTTATCTGCGATCAATTAATAACTTGGTACGTGACAATTTACAAGATAATAATTCATTTGTGGTCGTGTGGTTCGCCGGTTGCGGTGGTTCGCTTGTTCCAGGCAAGTCAGAGTGTTTTGTGCCTGCATTGTTCTCCTCTCAGTGGCAAAAGGTCAATTGCGGTTGACAGTGTGTCTTGGGCTTATTGTACTCGTAAACAAGAATACCGGCAGTACGAGCATGTAGACAAGAATGTGTGCAGTACAAGTATTTATAAGTTCTTCTGGCGGCTTGCATGCAGCAGTGCTGCTGCAACAGCTGTCACAGCAGCTTTGTAATTAGTTTTGTAATTCCCATTAAGTAATTTATGGTTACAAGTTGTGCCTGTGTATAAATCATTATGACAATTTACTGGCGCTACTGTGGCAGTCTTGCAGCTAACGGGAAGTTGCGTCTTTTGCTCAGATACTACGAGACAACCGGCTCATTATGCAAGCAACACACCATTCAATATTTCATAATGTAATTAAAAGTGAGCAGCACACACGAAATTAATGCCAATAGTTCAAGGCGACCCATAGATGCTGAGGTGTAAACAACAACAACAACAGCGCACAACACTTCATTTGTATTTTGTATCTTTAAGCAGAATACAGCTAAAGCTACGCAAATGAGCTGCACTGAGCTGCAGCTGTTCCAGTCCCAGACAAAGTTGCCGTCGCCGGCATCGTTGCAGCTGCCTCATCTTCTCCACCATCATCTGTGTGTGCTTCTGCGCCTGCGCCTCTATCTGAGCCGAGGATCAATTGAAGCCCAAACAAAAAATGTGTTGCAATCGACGGCATTCGAGTGCCATGTGCAGTTCTATGGAAAAAGCCCATTTTCAAGCCACTATGTACACTTAGCGAAAAACGACACGAACAGTTCTAGAATTGAGGACATTCTGTACTCCTTTCATCAAAAGTATGAATTGTTGAAGAATTTGAAGCAGTATCTCAAAAAGACTGGTGATTTAATGATATTATTTAATCAAGTTGCCAGAACTTCTCTCCTCTGGTCAACTCTTGCAAATATATTTCTCCTAATTTGTTTTGTCTCTGGCATGTAATGGTGTGTCTAGCTTTCAACAACGCTGACGACTTAATACTTCTTGCGGAGTCTTGCCCACCGTTGGTAATCGAGGCACCTATTGGGCCGACACTTTGTTCACATCTATTTCATTATATAAAATCTTGATTGCCTGCACCTTAGGTTTTAGCTTCTTCACGCAACTTTGTTCCGCGTTCAGGCGATACAGATACATCAATGAAAACATTGTTCGACCAATACCTCACAGCTCTTAGAGATGGAGAAGTGTCCCCCAGCATCAAAATTTTCTTTTATTTCCTCGATATTTAACTTTTCTAACTTTTCCTAATAAAAAGACCGTTAAGAAAGAAAACGATGAATCCGTCTGTAATTTAGTATGACAGCTTTTAATTGATATCTGAATGCGATGGCACAGTTAACATCACTAGACAAAAGTCCTGTGTCGTCAACGACTCGTTTAGCTGGATTGTGTAGAATGTACTTATAATAATAATATAAAGTACTTTGAAAGTTATATTGGATAGAAAGCGCGAAATGCGTTAATGTAACTAGCAATATGATCTTTTCATTTTCTTACATACTTCCGCTGGTCGGTAGCAATTAGCGGACCTGTGAGAGCTATATTTCAAATAGTAAGAAATGGTAAGTTTTATCTAATAAATAATTTCTCGAACTACTTGTACTGACACCGTTTTTACTTGACTTTAGAACGATAATATTGCGCTAGTGTTTTCTGAGTGTACGGGTACGTATTTATTTGTATGTACTCGTATGGGAGCTGAGGCTTTCGCTTTAGCGCCTGTACAAGTATGTGTGCAATTGGAGAGCTGTCGCATGATTTTTGGCAGTACTGGGTCTTAGGTGAAGGCTTTCGGTTGGTCGGAGCTGGGGCCCGAGCTAAAAACTCTGCTGACGCAGTGCAACATCGACATAATTCGGGCTCAAGTTGAATATTACAATAATTTGTTGCTGGTCACCAGTGGGCAGCTCTTCTAATAAGCCAATGGTATGTTCATACATACATACTTACGTATATATATATATATATATATATATATATATTTATGTATGTACATACTTATTTTGCTTTATTATTTTTTTAGTTATGCATTCAATTACGTTTTCAGAATCAATGAACAAAAGCTGGTGAACGCAAT